TTCCAAAACCAGACCCCGAAACCTCAGTCTCCGCAGAACCTCCGAGCCTCAAAGCCTCCAAAACATGAGTATTTGTCCCTGAGGGTCCCACGGTTGATGATATAAATCCTGCATGACCCATAATAATAGTAAGGAATATACCATAATCATAATCCCCATAGTTTAGGGTCGTTTATCATCAACTGCAGTACCTGCTTATCGTATACTCTCCAAAATGGTAACCTACATAACTACTATCCTAGAACCGAGTACCTAATTATTGGGTCCTTTGGACCCTTAGGGTTTGGTTTTAAAGTACGTATAGAAACCTTAATGCTTTCAATATACTCCATGGGTACTTGGACCATCCCAACCGCTATACAGATAAAGCTGTGTGACTCCGTGTAACCCTATAAGCCCTAAACCCTAAACCCCTAAACCCTTAACCCTAAAACCCTAAACCCTAAATATAGTAGCTAAACCCTACACCCCTGTAGAGGGCGGCTTGGAGGGCTCTTCGGGTTTCCTCTAGGGTTCCTTTTGGGGTTCCTTCGAGGGAACCCTTGACAAGGGAAGCCTTAAAAAAGGGAGCCCTTTGAGATCCTTTAAGGGTTCCTTTAAGGGTTCAGCTAATACTATTAGGACCCGTAGAGTGAGCCTTTTTTGGCCAGGCCTCTGTCAAGAGGCTGTTTGGGCTTCTCGACCGGAACAGCCAGGGCAAGGCAGGGCATTGTCTATAGGGCGGGTTGAAAAAGGGTTTGGGGTTTAAAAGGGTTTAGGATGGTTTAGGGTTTGGTGGTTTTCAGAGTTTTTGGGGGTTTAGGGCCTTAGTCGCAAAAAGGTTGAGTTTAGGGTTTGAGGTTTGGTTGTGGGACTTTCGGGTGGCTTCCCTGGTCTTTATAATGATGTCTATTCGGAATCACAAGGCTTTCGCTAAATTAATGTGGGGGTTCATGTATTGTTGAGTGGATGGTTTCGCGATTTACGGCTCTGGAGCTCTTCTATGAAGAGGTCGAATTGGAAATATCCTCATTAGGTACGGCCCCCACTCAGTAATAGTTGAATAATATTCACAATATAGATATAGTAGGACCTTAATAGTAGCCCTATTGTAGACTCTAACTGTATGGGGGCCGTACCTAAGAAATGTCCTCACGCAATGCGGGGCACGTGCGTAGGCTCCTCACCTCGCTGGCTGGAGATGCTTGAGAGTCTTTACTACAGCTCGCCTGCTCTTAGAAGGTATAGAAAGAGCTATCAAGGACGGCACTTTCGAAAGGTCATTATACGGTTTTTCGCAGACTCTATGATCCATGCAGGAATCTGGAGGGATGCTGCGACAGCCCTTGTAAAGGCTGAAGTCCTTGAGCGAGAAGCTCAATCACTCCTGTATATGGATGGCGCAGTCAACGGGGTCACTGCTCCCCGGCCTCGGGTCACCATAGACCACTATCAAATTGAAGAAACCAGGTCCATCCTTTCAGAGCAGTTTGAAGCTTCTTTCTTGATGAAGCTGGATCTGACGAAATCCTTGTTCGGAAAGTGCAAATGTATCTTGTTGAACGAGCTCTACTACGGCTACGCAAAGGCACCCTCGTTCTTCAAGTTACTGAGGCCCAAGCCTTTTTCGACAGACTCAGGACTATCTTTGCGTGCTTTAGGTTTAGTTAGGGTTTACGGCTTACGGGCTTTGTGCTTAACGCTTTGAAGTACGATGGCCCTAGACTCTAAATCCAAAGCGCCCGAACCAGGCACAATCAACACCCCCTTCGCCTGACCAAACCCTGACTGTTTGTAGGTTCATACCAGAAGCCCTTATGTAGAAGTAATAGGGGCCCAACAAAAAAGGTAGGTTTCGGTAGTTCAAGGTAAAGCTCCAAGCCCTAAGCCTCTAAGTTCCTGAAGTACAGTTATCCACCTCTCAAAGTCTAGGTGGCACTTTGGGAAACTTAAAGTTCCCCGTATGATAGGTACCCATTCACAGAGTAGCCCAAGAGCCTTATATAATATGGTCTTTGGGCCCATAAGCCTTATGATATAAATATTCATACATACTTTTAAGGGCCTCAAAACTACAACACAGAGATGCAGAAAGCCATTGAAATCATGAGCTCCTGTAGCGATTAGGTTTGGGGTTCAAGTTGAGGGCTTAGGGTTTACCGTCTACTGTCGAGGGTTTAGCTTGTAGGGTTTAGGGTTGAGGGCTTCGGGTTTAGGGCCTACCGTTAGCTTGTATGGGGTTCAGGGTTTAGGGTTATATGGTTCAAGTTGAGGGTTTGAGTTTGGGGTTTAGGGCGCATCCGAACCATGAAAGTATCCTTCAGCTACATGGCTGTTGCTGGGTAGCCCAGAGCGCAGGACACTGTTTGGGAAAACTCGGCACGATTCAGGGTTCAGGGCCTAGGGTTTAGGACCTTCGAGACTTTGAGTTGAGCCCCCTGGGATGCTGTACTTGCCAGTTTCCGAAAGGGTTGGGGGGGGTAAGGTATTTATAAGGTTTAGGGGTTTATTTAAGATTTAGGGTTGGGGATTTGGGGGTTAGGAAAAAGGTTTAGGGTTTTGGGGGTTTAGGGACCTTGTTTTGGGATGCAGAAGGCACTCTTGAGAAAGACCCCGGTGCCCTGGACGCCTTTGAAGCAAAAGCCACAAGCCCGCAAAAAACGTCGCCATTATAAGCCGGAAGGTCTGCCAGAAAGATGTGCTCATGGCCTTGCGGAAGTCCCCGGCTTAGAGAGAGAGAGAGAGAGAGAGAGAGAGAGAGAGAGAGAGAGAGAGAGAGAGAGAGAGAGAGAGAGAGAGAGAGAGAGAGAGAGAGAGAGAGAGAGAGAGAGAGAGAGAGAGAGAGAGAGAGAGAGAGAGAGAGAGAGAGAGAGAGAGAGACAGAGAGAGAGAGAGAGAGAGAGACAGAGAGAGAGAGAGAGAGAGCGAGAGAGAGAGAGAGAGAGAGACTGATATAGGGACAAAATATTCACCTGTTTGCTGTTTTGGGGGTTCCTTATGTCCTTATGATGATCATTGTACACTGGGCCCCCAAAACCCCATTCTAATGATTGAGGCCATATATATATATATATATACATATATATATATATATATATATAAATATACATAACTTGCAATTCCAAGGCCCTAACCCCCAAACCCGAAAGCCCTAAACCGCTAACCCCTTGAACCCCTAAGCCCTCAAGCGCGGCTACTCCAAGGCATCATCCCGTGAGGCAGCTTTTTGGGGTGGCAGGCGACAGCGACGAGGCCTGCTTCTCATAGCACGACTGGTCATGATTCAAGCGTTTGGGGTTTAAGGGTTATATACGTTCAAGCTCTAGGGTTCGGGTGTAGGGTTTAGGCCCGAGCCCCAAAACCCCCAGCACTGTCCAGGCTGCGCAATTGCAGGAACGCCTCTCCAGCATCCAAGAGGCTTTTGAAGCTGGCTCAGGCCAGGCCAGGGTCGTCCTTCGTTTCTTCCGTTCCTTCAACATTTCTATATGGGTTTCTATAAGCTTTCTAATTGAAAGGGTGCTAAACGGGAAGTTCTCTAAATTAGTGTCCCTTCTTAGGTCCCCAAAAAACACAGACCCCAAGGGACCCCCAATTTAGAGCACTACCCATATACCAGTCTAAACCTAAACCCAAGAAGCCCTCAAGCCACAAGTCCAAGGGACTCAGGGATCAGTTGCTTGCAGATGCTGTTCGGCGTTGTTGTCTTGGCGGGGCTTGAAGCTCAAAGCTGTATCCATGTAAGGATCTAGGCAGTCAAACTTCGGATTGGGGCTTCAGCAGTAGAGTGTCATAGCGAATCGCATGGGCCTCCCCTCCATGGCCGATTTCGAGGAGGTGTTCAGCGACCTTCATGAACTGCACCGCCGTACGACGCGCGCGTTGGTTGACTGTCTGCCAGCAGCCATGTTGATCACCGTTCTCGCCATGAATGTTTGGGCTGCCTATTCGGAGTTCAGGGCGGAAGAGCTGAGCCGTTGGAGCGCATCGGCATTGGCGGTTATCTCTTCTGACAGCTTGGACTCGGTTATCTTCTTCCGGAGCCGAGATGCATTATAGGATCCTTAAAGGGGGGGTGGTTCAAGGGGGGAGGGTACTAGGGAGCTTTGGGGAACCTTAGGGAAGCTTAGGGAGTATTGGGGAATAATGGGGATTACTAGGTTACCTACCCCCCTTGGACCACCCCCCCTTAAGGACATCCTAAATGCACCCCCAGAATTGTACATCCCCTGCCAGCTCTTCAGCTGAACTGAGAGGCCCCGTCTCCAGCGTTTCCTTTGTCCTAGAGTAGGCCCTTATTCCCTTTTTGTAGGGCTCAGGTTCCCATATAAGCCCCCTTTTAAACCAAAAAGGGCACCCTTTTTATTCCTAGGTTACTCTTGGGTCTAGGGCTTACAGTAGAAGCCAGAAAGTCGGAACATCATTGTCCTCATGCCCCTATGGTAAAGTAGAAGGAATCCCAGCACTATACATCCTAAATCCATGTTCCACTTTTCTGGGATTCACTGTAGGGTTTAGGGAAGCTTCCAGCTTGATGTCTGATTTGATGATGATGAACTCTATATTGTGTATATATATATATATGTGTATATATATATATAGATAGATAGATAGATAGATAGATAGTTCGCTGCGCAACCTTCATAGCAACCTGTACAATAACCCTGTATCCTGGTAATGTCGGTAGTTACCAGGAGAATACAACGGACTGGGTAACCATAGAGCACCCGCAAAACCCTGAGCCTTTGCAACCCTAAACCCTAAACCGTTACACCGAACAACCAAAGCCTACCTTGTTTTCTAGGGTTCCTATAAGTCTTTATCATGGATCCTCTGAGAACCTACGAAACATGTTGGTTCTGGTAATGTAATTGACCAAAGTACCATCAAAACACGAGATATTACCCAAATGCATAGTGCATCTACGTGGTAAATTTGTTTAAGGTACCTCGGTTACTCTAGGTAAGCCCTAAACCCCTACACAAAAAGAAGCCGCACCTCTCTCCTTGTCTTCCTTTTCGGAGGTTTGGGCCAGGTGTCGCCCCTCTTCAGTGCGCTAAAGGCAGTTCCTGGTAGGGTTAGTTCTTGTTATTAGGTTTTAGGGTTTTAGGGTTCAGGGTTCCTTAGAAGGGATCTTATAAGGGGTACAAGCAGGGATATTATCAGGGTACTATAAGGGATACTACAAGGGTTCCTTTTGAGGGATCTATAGGGTTTAGGGATGTTTAGGGCCTGAGTTTAGGCTTTTGGTGTTCAAGTTTAGGGCACAAGCTTAAGGTTTGGGTTTCGACTTTTTAAGTTCAGGGTTTGGCACTCGATTCGGGGTGCAGGTGAGGTTTCAGGAGGAGTTGAAAGCCGTGTCTGCTGCGTTTTGCAGTGTCTTGTATGCCAGTGACCGTGTTTAGTACTCCGCGTGCGGTTGTTTGATTGGCTTAGGGTTGAGGGTTGGATGTCGAGAATGAGAATTTTAATTTACCTTTGTTTCCAGCCGTGGCTCGGTAACAACATCGCATCCCCCGAACTCTTGCCTGTGGATTGACTTACGTATATAAATTGAACTAAGGTCCCGATATGACGGCTTGCCCACTGTTTGTCGAATTGCTTTACACTGACTTCGCTGAAGGGGGGAAATCGAAGCTGAACTGTTCGCTTGTGCTTCGAGAGCAGCGCAAGGTTGAGGGTTTCGCATTCGAGACATTCCAACCGTCCAGTCGCATATATATATATATATATATATGTGTGTGTGTGTGTGTTTGTGTTTGTATATAGCTATATAGATACATCTATCAATGCGTCTATCTATCGATCTATCTACCTATGTCTATAATACATGTGTATAAATTCTTGCATCTGAAAAAGCCCGAAGTGACCGGTGGGGGGGGTTCCTTCGTCCAAATACCCCTTGCCCGACTTCCCCCAACCGTAAACCCTACAGCCTAAGCCGCAAACCTCTAAACCCTATACCCCCAGACCCTAAACCCTTTGGGTTTAGGGTTTGGGGGGGAAGGGTTTAGGGTTCGGGGGTTGGAGTTAGGCCCTGAACCCTAAATCTTTAACCCTAAACTCTGCAGGATAAACTCTTGAGGTTTTGTATGCCGTAAACCGTTCCCTTCCCTTGACCAGGAAGCCAGCGACTGTGGCAACGCCTTTGCCTGGGCGACTTCTTCGCAGAGACGTGATATATGTTGCCGTGTTGACAGTTTGCGGTCTACAGGGTCTAGAGTTCAGATTTCAGAACTCACCCTTAGGGTGTCTGCGTGCAGGGTCTCCGTTGTTTTCAGGTTTGGCGGCATTCACTGCGCATACAACGAGACCCCATTTCTCATCGTCACCCCGAAGAGTTCTGACTGCCGGGTGTTTGAGCCCAAGACTACCGACATAAACCCTAAACTCTAAACCCTAAACCCTAAACCCGACATAAACCCTAAACTCTAAACCCTAAACCCTAAACCCTAAGGGTGCTGGAGTCGCTTTGTAGCTTGCAGCTTGCCCTAAGGCCCCATAGTAGTTCCTTTTGGGGGTTCCTATGTTATTTAGAACCGTTTTCGGTCTTAGAGCCCCAAAACCAAACCTTTAAACTTGTTGGGTTTGGATTGGTTTCAGAATCTTGGATCCTCAATACCAAACCTTCAAAATTTTTGGGTTCTTGTAGTTCAGTAGGAATCGGAAAGTTTAACTGTTTATATTTGTGGCTTATTGGGGCAGTAAGAGGTAATCCCAAAAAGGAACTAGTATGGGGCCTCTGGGCGAAGCCCAAAAGCAACAAGCCCTGTACGACCCTACGAAAACCGCGCAGACTTTGTGCTTAGGAGCCATTTCTCGATGCCTGTCAACGAGGGTTGCTCAAGGAGTGGGTGAAGGCAACCGAGGGAGCTCGAGAAGTGCTGGGATGCAGGGCTTAAGAGTTAGGACGTCGGTTTCTGGCTTCAGGGCTAGAGATGGGGGATATATGAAACGGATGAGACTTTGCGCATAGTCATCGGAATAACTGCAACAGCAGCCATACACATAAGGGCAACGAGTGTTGACGGCCGTTGTAGCCACAGCAGCGGTTTATCCAAAAGAAGAAAGGCCATGATGGGATCCACATGCTTGGTAGTCATGTGGTACACGAGTAGCAATTGCAGCACTACGCAGTAGTCGTCGTCGTAGTAGCTGTGGTGGTATAATGACAATAGTGAGGTTCGTACTCATGAACACTACTCATTTTCGCGATTGACAACTGTGTTGAGTGTTACCAACCATAGTGGTATTGATGAGACAACCGTAATAGTAATCATGGCAAGAACAATAGTAACCGCAATAGTATGCATCTTTCGTCGTCGAAGTAGCAATAACAAAGGAGTGGCAGTGGCTGCATGAGCCGCAGTAGTGGCAGGAGCTGGAGCCGCAACCGTAGCGGTCGCGGTAGTAGCCGTAGCCGTGGAAGCAGCAAGAGCAGCAGTATCGCAGCAGCACTTGTCTATATACTATGACTGTGGCAGATCCGAACCACAAAGCTAGGTTCCTCACAAAATCGTAGGCTACGACGCTTTAGGTAGGGATGGCAGAACCATGCTGGCAGGTGGCCATCAACTCCCTTCCTCGTGAGCACAGCCAGGGACAGGCAGGGCCAATGTCAGACCCCTAACCCTCAGGCTCCATGTACTTACCGTAGACTACCAAAGCCACTTTTTATCGTAGGGCCCCGATACGTTCCGCATTAAGCTTATAATAAGAACGTACAAAAAAGGAGGCTATGGTACGTTAACGTATATAGTGTAGATAATACGTCGGCACATGGAGTATTAGGGTACTTGGTAGACTTGTCCTTGGCCTCAGCCCTAATTCTAAGGCCCAGCATGTCTTGACAATCCACCTCCCCCAACCCTAAACCTTAAACCCATAAACCCCAAACTTTAAACCCTCAACCCCTAAGCAGAGAACCCTAACCCCCGAAACCCTAAACCTGAACCCCTAAACCCCAAACTTTGATCCCAGACGTTGCCCCGTAAACCCTAAACCCAACTGAACTCCAGTTCCTCCGTGTGGACCAGGTCTTCGTCGCAAGCCGACAATGGCAGGTGGTTCCGCCAGGCCAATTAGTTCATCTAATTCTTTGGTGGGTTTAGGGTTAAGGGAATCACGGGCTTCTCTCTTTGGGTTACTGTGGAGTTTAGTTTTTTTTAGTTTGTGTACAACTGCTTTTTTTCCGAAAATTTTCCAAGGTCTAACCTATAGGCTCCAAATCCCAAATTCAATCGTTTTTTGGATGCACCGGGTTCTACAGAGGTCTTTGTAGGTTTGTTAAATGCGATCTACGGTTCCACAAGGGGTCGGTTGAGTGTACTGTAGGGGCCTTGATAATTACCCAACGATTTGTGGTGGTGCCTCATTATAATTATGGTATAAAGAGCCCCCAAAGCCCTTTTCCAATTATTAAGGCCCCTATACCATGTAGGACTCGTGCCAGAAATAGAAACCCTACATCACATGCCTTTTGTTCAGCCGTAGACAGGAGTGAACTCCCACTTCTAAATCACCTCCTTTGGTTGATTCCTGCAAAAGGAAAAGGGTACGGGACCCTGCTTATTTTCCTCGAAAGGACAACACTGCTGGCAAGCGATAGACATGAAACACTACTCAATACTTGGAGGATCAATGGACTTAGTAAGTAGGGTTAATTATATGTACCTTAATTGGCGATATAAGTAGTTATAAGTCGAGTTACCTTATATTACTTATGTACAACCCCAGTTACGAAGTCCCATGATCCTCTAATCCAACCACGCTCTCTGCTCAAGGGGCAGCTTGCCCAGCCGGTCTAGAATTTCGTCAGGGCCTCGGTGAAGGTTCCATATAGCGGTTTAGGGTTCAGGGTTTAGGGATAGGGTGTAGGCTGTAGAGAGTGAGGGCGCTAAGGTTGAGGGCGTCGACCTCAAAATCCTCAACACTGCGCCCTACCAACCCCTAAACCCCTAACCCCCAAACCCGAACCCAACAAAACCCAAATCCAAACCAAAAATCCAAGCCCTAAACCTCAAAAGCCCCAAGCCCTAAACCCTAAACTGGAGCCCGACTGCCTTGGCACCTGTACGGATGACTATGTCAGGACCTGTCAAATGCTAGGGCTTTGGGTTTAGGATTTGTTTTTTTGTTGGTTTGGGTTTGGGGGTTCGGGGTTTAGGGTCGGGGGTCTTCGGGCTTAGGATCCAAGTACCCACTGTATTTTCATGTTAGGGCTAAGTTTCAGGGTTTAGGGCTTCAGTGTTAATCAAGCCCCAAACAAAGCCGTAAACCCTGAAGCCTCAAGCCCAAACCCCAGAAGACGTAAGGCTATAAATTCTCAACCGTTACATCACGAAACCACAGCATAAAGCTGCAAAATCCTGCCATTAAATTTAGGGTACTTCAATGCTCAGTTAGAACTCAAGATTGTAGACAGACCCTTAAACCCCCACGTACTTCCCAAACCCCTAAACCCGAATCACAACCCTAAACCCAGAACCCTCGTTAAGGAATGGACATACATACCTACACAAGGGCTACGTACCCAAACCCTGATACTAACCCTAAGGCTCCATGTACCCATATAGTAGGTACTTAGGCCTTATAAGGTACCTATATAGGGACCCCTGTAAGGCTAAGTACCTACTATATGGGCACATGGAGCCTTTGGGTAAAAGGTGCGGGGAGGACCTTTGGGCCCGCATAGACCCCTCCAGATCCCTTGCAAAATGAACCCTTGAAAGGACCTAAACCCCAAACCCTAAACCCTCTTAGGGATTCCCCCCTAAGCCCTACTATACCCCAAACCCTAAATCTAAGCTAAACCATACTATACCCTAAACCCTAAACCCGACTATACCCTAAACCCTACAAACCTACCATACCCTGAACCGTCTTAAGGATTCCCTAACTAAGGAATGGACGGGATTCTAAATATGAACCCCAAAAAGGAACTACTTTGGGGCTTTAGGTATAGTGGGGCTTAGGGAATCCTCAAGTCCGTTTAGGGTCCTTTGGGCTGAGGAATGGACATGGCCAGCGGCCACACCATGGCTCGCCTGCCCCAGAAGGCGACCAGCTGAGCGTGGCGCGGCGGACAGTAAGCTTTTCAGAGGGATCATTCAAGGGCTTCTTAAAGGGTTCCTGAAAGGGTTCCCTAAAGGGTTCTATACGGAAAGATAGTATATAGAAGCCTTCATTGGGATCCAGGTTTAAGCGTTTTAGGGTTTGTCCTTGGGTTTCGGGCTTAGGGTTTGGCCCGGATATTTCCAATGCGCAGGCTATAAGAATTAAGAGTTCCAAGGGTTCTTTAAGGGCTTTGGGCTTCATGTTATATGGGTGGTCGTTATTAGGGTCCCTTTCTGGGTCCTTAATGTAATACGGCACCGAATATTTAGGGCCAGGGTACGCAAAAAGGGACCCTAATTTTGACAACCACCCATATGGGGGGGGGGTTGAACATGTATTAGCCTTTGTCAGTGTCCGTACGGTTCTTGTTTACGATTGTACTTTGGGCGCTGCCCCTATACAGAAAGAGTTTCTCATAGGGCTACTACAAAGAGCCTTGTGTATTGTTCAACTACTAAGTGGGGGCAGTACTGAAGCGATATTTCTATGCCATGCCATACCTCGAAACCCTATTCAAAGTTTTGAGGCCCCTATACTACTTGGGGCCGGTTTGCCGCCCTGAGGAGGGCATGTACCTGTGTAGTAGGTACTTCGGCCTTTGCAGAGGGTTCCTATGAAGTTGAGGGTCCCTGTGTACCCTAGTAACTGAGTAGGTAACCTTTAACTTTTTGGGGTTCATGTTATAATCCTGCCATAATTGAAACATTTAGTACCTCTATGGTACCCTTATAGAACCCTACTTGGACGATCATGGGATTTAGTAAGTAAGGTTATAAGTTATAAGTACCTCAATTGGGGGCATAAGTAGTTATATGTACGGTTACCGTACTTACTAAGTCCCAGGATCCTTAAAGTAATAGAACCCTAATAGCCTATACCCTCATGGTACGCATATAGAACCCTATGGAACCCTCCCCTAAACCCCAACGGCCGAAGCCCAGGTGCACCAAGGCGCAACTCATCGGCCTTCCCAAAGGATCGCTCAGTCACTTAAAAACGCAAGTTTAGGGTAATGGAGCTTCCTGTAAGGGTCCCTTTAAAGGGGTCTATAAGGGTTACCATAAGGGCTACCATAAGGGTTTAGGGTTTAGGGTTTCCTTGTATATATTCAGCCTGCATGGGGGATACTAGCCATTATAGTCATCCCTGACAGTCAAAGACCTTGTTGCGCTTTGTAGCTATTCTCAGTTTAGCCAACCCGAAAACATCGGCAACACCCTCATCATGTTCGTAAAACCCTATGGAGTCTTTTGAGATGCTTAGGATCCTTTGGGAAACTGAGGGGGCCAAAACAATTACACGACGTGTTCGCAGGGAGCGCACCCTGAGACTGCAAGCACGAAAATGATACCTGGGCTATTGGGATAAGATAGTAGCTTGAAGAATCGCTGCTCGAGGTTCCTTATGCACCAGTTTACCATCATGATTTCGTTTACAACTACACTGCAATCTGAGCATTGTATGTGGCCCGCTGTTGCATCTAAGAAGCGTTCTTGTATGTACGAACATCTTTGAGGGCTTCTACTTGCGAAGGTTTGAAGATGATGAAACAACCCTAGGCAAACAGAGACTGCCGGGCCCTCATCACGGCACTGTAGTACTTAGGGTTTAGGGTTTAGGGTTTAGGGTTTAGGGTTTAGGGTTTAGGGTTGTAGTTTTCGGGGATGATGCTGCAGGGCTCACGATGTTTCAGGAGGGTCTGTGTGCTGCGTCCTGAACTAATGGCGTCTGCATGATTAGTAATACTGTTCCTTTGCTACAACGATTCCTTCATGTAACTTTAACACACCTATCGTACAACCTGTTTCTACTGGTGTAGCCTCTTTTGATACCATCCACCTGTTGTCAGCCTTTTGCTGAGTCCGACCCTCACAGCAACAAGTATGGCTTAGCATGTGGTGTAAGCAAGACGTAGGAGCACATTCGTGCATGTTTCTAGTCCATGTTGCAGATACAGTGGAACCCGGCAGACGGATCCTCAATACCTATGCCCTAAACCCTTAACCCTAGACTGGCAGCCCCTCTCGGAGGCAAAGGGTTAGGTTTTCCTGGCTTAGACTATTACGCCATAATGTCGAGATCAAAACCCGAAACCCACAGAAGGTCTTGAGGGATTTCAGTATCAACGACTTAGTGGTTTAGTAGTCTCGAAAATTTGGGATGGGAGGTCCTGCATTCTTCAATGTTCGATTTCGCATCGACGTCATGCGCTCTCGGTTGTGATGCTTGCAGAGACACACGGATTTCCTTCCTCCAGATTCTTCGGGGTCGGGCCGAAAAAGCTAGACAGTTCTGATCATGGCGGTTGTTTTCAGGTTAGGCTGCTGTTAAGGATCTCGGGAGTAGGCCGAGAGTGTGTGCCTAAGGCATCTGACAAAGGCGAAGAAAAGCATGATCAGCATCATTTTGATTCGTGCTGTGTTTTTGAAAAGGAGTAGAGTAGAAACGTAAGCCCTAAAACCTGTAAAGGCAACACTTGAGTGTCACAAGATACGCATGGGTTGACGCAAACATGAGTCCTGTGTCTCATACCCCTCAACATATTATGCATGTGCAGTCGTGGATAGCTAGATAGAGATAGATACATAGATAGATGGACAACATTGTCTGGTCAAGGTTCGGTCCAGACGAAATCAAACAAACTGTCTACGCGCCAAGTGCGTTAACACAAAAGTATTGTGAGCCGTGTACGACAGTCGATCTGATTGGCTCGTATCTTGACTCCCGCAGTTCAATCGAAATCCGTTGGGTCGCTGGGGCCCACTGCTATGGCAGCTTCCGTTTCCCCGAAGCTCTGTGAATTCGAGAAGGATGGTCCTGGTTTTAGTCGAAACCCTAAGCCTTTAAGCCCACACTCGCAGATATTGCCAAGTCTCCTGACGAAAAGACGCTAAGCAGCCTAGGGCCTCAAACCCTTCCAAGCCTTATAATCAGCTCATCTCGGTACTTGCGCCCGAAGCCTTGTACCCAGACCTGCTCCCCAGTACTGAAAGACAGTGAACACATTTTTCTGAAGTAGGATCCCTCCGTTTTCATACACGAGGCTCGCATGCGCTGGGATCCAAACGGGAATCCAAACGGCGCCCCAACTGGCAGACGTGTACCAAGCATGAGCAGACTTTGAAGTTCTAGGCAAAGGATTCAAGTCGTAGGGCTTTATGTGCCAGCAACAGTTCAGTGTGCAGTTTGGGGAACCCAAGAGCTGCAGCCCCAGCTCTGCACTTAGCCGAATTTGCAGTCTCAGTCCTCGTTGCTGAAGACGACCTTGGTCCGGGATGCCTTCTGTCTGCATTCGCAGAGATTCGCGCTTCTGCTGTCAGGAAAAAGCTGCGATTCTTTTAGCATCTGCAGAGGTTTAGGATTTTTCTGTAGCCCTCCCTACCCCAACCAAATTGGTTCTTGTCCAACAGTTGGTTGAAAGCGCATAGCCCTTGGAACAGCAGGTTACCGGATCCAGAGGTTAAGCCAGTGTTTGAGGTTGGATTAGTATTCCTAGTGCTGGGCCCTATACTTTACCTTAAGGGCCTGAGGAGAATGAAGTGCGATGTTCTGGCTTCCACTTTACCCCTGAGATCTGAAAGCCATCGTATCCAAAATTGTTCAAAACATGTAGCTTTCTTTACCCTTGAAATCCGAAAGCATCGTATCCCATGTAGCTCTCCTAACGTGCCAAGGACAAGACACATTTCCACCAGCTGCTGGAGAAGTGTCCGCTCCAGAGGACGAGACGATGCGCTTGAGGGAATCGGGAATGGGTGGGGGGGCTTAGGGCTAAAGAAATTTCGAGTTAAAGGTGTCGTAGAAGTGAATGTTTAGGGTGTAGAGCCTTACTATAGGAGCCCTTTACCTCATACCCTACCCCTTTCTTAGGTTACCTACTTTTCTAAATCATAGATCTTAACTAAACAGCCAGGTGCCGAAAAGAAGGAGTAGGGCATGAGCCGCAGGTAAATGGGAGTGTCCGAAAATAGGGGACCCTAATAAAGCACCCTGGATAGTAGGATCCTTATTAAATAAGGACCCCAAAATAAGGTTCGGAAACTCCCACATGGAGCCTTTAGACTTTCAATTCTGTGACTTATTGGGGATAGCCAGTTATAGGAGCCCAAAATAAGATCCATATTATAAGGACCCCAAAATCAGAACCGGAAACTCCCCAATGGAGCCCTTCGACCAGGATGTGGCACGAGCTCTATGCCAGCAGCGACTTCGAGCGGCGAGCGAAGGAGATCCAAGAGCTCCTCGCCTCGATCTTTGGGGTTCAATTTCGATCAAATCATGAGGTATGATGGATTATTGAAAGTACACACACATATATATATATATATATATATAATACATACGTACATACTTATATATATATATATATATATATGTATATATATATATACAGACACACACACATACATATACATACATATACATACAAATATGTATGTATGTATGTATATATATATATATATAAGTACATGGGTTCCTGACAAACAGGGCTCTTGCACATATTGGGTTGCGCGAAGTTAGGTTCCCCAGTACTACATGTTTACCCTGTTGTTCTTGGGTTCCCTTCTTCAAGCCAGCTAGTAGGAAAAAAGGTACCCTTCTTGTTAAAGGGCTGCTGGAGAACCTGCTTGGAGGATGCGGGTACTTAGTATGTGAGGTTATAAGTACCGTAATTGGTAATTATAACGGTTGATGATACAAATCCTGCGTTACCATTATGACCCTAGACTATGGGAATTATGGTACATTCCTTATTTTGGGTAATGCAGGATTTATATCATCAACCGACGCATATTAGAGCCATCTACTTACCACCCTAGTTACTAAGTCCGATGATCTTCCAAGTAGGAAGTGTTGCTGCTTCGTTTGGGATGTTTAACAGGTTGGCTCGGTCTTGAGGTCCCCCTTTAAAGGAGCTATAAGTGTTTACGGTTAAGGGTTTTTGGGGCTTAGGGTGTAGGGTTTAGGGGTTTAGGGTATACTTAGGGGTACTTAGACATGTTTTTAAGTTTTGGTTATGATAATCCCTAAGAAACAGCTGAAATTTCAATTCTTGCTAGGGTTCTAAGTTCAGTATAGTATATTTTTTGTCATGGTCTTCAGGTTTCTCATTCATGTTTTCCAGGGTTCGAAGGTTATTAGGGCTTTCGGAGTTTGGGTCTTCAGGGTTTCTGTGGGGTTATAGAAGTTACCGAAGCGTTCCTTTTCTACGTAGGAACTGGATCGGCGCATGGACCACCATAAACCCAACAATAAATGGTTTGAAGAAACATGACGCTTAGAGGCGCCCTCAAGGCATGGAGCTAGGCTATGCACCCGGAGAGATATCATAAGGCGCCATGTGACTCTATAGTAATTATAGACGTTGGCCTTAAACGGATTCCGATATAGGTATTTTGGAGGCGAGAGTATGTAGCATGTAGGTACATGGACCCTTACACCCCAAACCCTGTAGAACTGTTGTAGAATTCTCATGGTTCCCTCAAGAGAAGCCGTAGAGGAACCCTTGCTATATGGGAGCATGGACCCTTAGAGATAGCCAAGGTTCAATCGCAGCAACCGCTGGCGCAAGCCAAGCTCACAGTGTGCTGCATTCGGATCTGAGTTCGCATCAAGGGCTTTTCAAGTGCTCTTCAGAGCTCTATAATGGTTCCTTAAAGGGTTCTACGGTTGATGATATAAATCCTGGATTACCTTGATGAGCCTAAACTACGGGAATTGTGGTATGTTCCTTGTTATGGGTCATGCAGGATGTATATCATCAACCGTAGTAGTCTTGTTTAAAGGCTCGACAAGGTTTATTTATTACTTAGTTCTAGAAGGCTGAGTCTTCTTTAACGGCTCTATTAGGGTTTCTTTACAGGGTGCTAGGAGGCTTCTTTGCTGGCTTCGTGGCTAGAACAGCTTGACACAGTTCCAGAAGGTTGCATCGGTTCAATCAGGGTTCGCTACAGGCTTAAAGCATGCTTAAGCATAGACTCATGCCTCTTAACCCCTAAACCCTGAACACTACTAGCAAAAGGATACTTGTCAGCGAAACAGACCCGGGTCCGAAGTCTGAACAACACATTGAGAGAAAAAAAGAAAGGTGCCAGCGCAGCGGTTTCGGGCCATGTTGGATTGCAGATTCGACAGTAGCTGAGTGGCGCGATGCGGTTTAGAGCTTCAGGATTTGGGGATGTTTGGGGTCTAGGGTTCAGGTTTTACGGTCTTTGGCCCAAGGCTACTAATTACAGCCCCGCTTGAATGAGGTTGGTTTGAGGGGCTTTGGTGAGTGTCTGTCGCGCTCCTCAGGGTTAATATGGGGATAGTAGCAACAAGCTCCCTGCTGCATGTATATATAAGGTTGTGGGGATTTCGTTTACTAGCTTTGGGTCTATAGTGAACCCTAAACCGTTAACTCTACACCCCTATAAACCCTAAGCCTTTGGGATTGAGGGCTGGGTGTTTCGAGTTTGACTTCTGCGAGGGCTTAGTTACAACGGCAAAGGACATCCATAGGGGTTGAAGGTTTAGGGTTGAGTGCAAACAAGGGTTTTGGGTTCAGTGCTGATATAAGGATGTAGGGCTTGGAAGACTTTAGGGTTTATGTGGGTTTTTAGTGTGCAGGTTGGTGTATCGGCACAGCAGCTAGAACTGCGGTTTCTCGGAATGCCTGGCCTTGGGGTTAGGGTTTAGTCTAGGGCGGGGCGGAATCGAAACCCCGAAGTCAAACCCTAAGCCAACCCTGAACCCCAAGCCCCACCCAAAATACCGTGGAGACTCCGAAGCCCAAGGCGGGGTATCGCGCAGCTCCCCACGAAGTTCGGAATCAGCTTCACTGCCAAGTTCTTCAATCAGGTGTGGAATTCGAGCACGCCTGGCCTAGGAGCTAAGGTATACCTTTGGCTTTGGGGCTATGGGGCTTTATGGTTTAAGGTTTGTGGAAACCTAGCATCTAGGCTGTTGGTCGTTTATAGAAACCTATTATCCGGCCTCAGTGTGTTTTGAGGCTGGGGTTTAGGGTTCAGGGTTTGGGGTCTAGAGTGGTGGCCTCTTTCAGAGTAAGCAAAGAGAAGTTTTTTTTAAAATCAGGGGCACCTTTTAAAGCGATCCGTGTACGTATTTGGTGTATACTTAGGCCTTTTGTTAACGGGGTTCCTGTATAGGTGCTTTAAGGCCCAAGTATATGAGTAGCTCTCGAAATTAGGGTCCTGTTAGGGTCCTTTCAGCCTTTCTATCAGGGTGGCGTACCATATTGGCGACTCAAAATGGAACCAACCTTTGAGTTTGGGATAATTACCCATACACCATATAGGCACCTGGAGCCTTAGGAGAACAAGTCATGGGTATCCCACAAAGAACCTCATTAAGGCCGAATGCAGCTGCTAGGTCGGAGCGTGCAGAGTGTTATCATATGTTATATATATTTGGCATAGTCGACCTGCACGACCCCCATGGCCCAACACATATTGCAGGCCGGAGCTTTGGTAAACGTCTACACCGACGGCACGGCTCGGATCTTACGCCCATTTTCGGCTGGAATTGAGTTTAAGCGTCGTATCAAGTTTCGGCCTCCGGGAGTTCGGAAGGTCGGGTTTGTAGGTTAGGTGGTAGAACTTATAGAGTTTAGAGTTTGGAGGCTTTAGGGTTTAGGGTTGGAGGTTGGATGATGGTATGCGGTATGCATCAGGTTTTCAGGATGCAGACTCAGTAACCGAGGGTTTGGCACTTTCGGGGCCTTGTGATATCGATCTCTTATCTACACCTGAAATCCCAGATTCCAAACCCTGGCCCTTAAACCCTAAACCCTAAATTCCTAAACCCTGAAACCCCAAACCCGAAACTCCGAGACCCTAAACCCCTAAACCCTAAAACCCCTAAACTCCTAAACCCCTAAACTCCTCAACCCTGGCCTTGCTGCTGAGGTGCTCATCACACACGGAGGTACTGAGATGGGTCCACAACCCGGCTTCCAGCAAGTTACTTAAAGGCTCACGGGACTTAGTAAGTAGGTTATAAGTAGGGTAACCCCACTTAGGAGACTTATAACCCAGCTTCGAGCAAATTTCGGAATGAGGGAGGATTAATGTATTGTTGACGATAGACATCCTGCATTACCTTGGGTCATTAAGGCTATGGGAATTATTGTATAGTCCTTGTTATGGGTAAGGCAGGATGTATTATATCATCAACCGTATCAGCTGGTTTCGGGTTTAGGGTTTGGTTTAGGGTTCTCAACAATTTGAACACGGTTTCCCAGGGTTCCCCGTCGCATAACTGTAATAGAAAATAGAGTCGAGACCTTAATTATTCGGATTACTGAGGCGAGTATATGACATGTTTACAGTTTGAGGTTTGGAAGTGCGAGCTTGATCTACTGTAGAAGTTACAACCCTAAACCCTAAACCCTAAACCCTAAACCCTAAACCCTAAAGGGATTAGGGTTACGGGTATGGGGGCTTCTAGGGCTATTGTCGAATCTAGCAACCAGGCGGAGCAAATTTCAGCCTCGTTCTTCCTTCTTCAAACACTCCAGATTACTCACTTTAGTATTGTAGTGAATGTCCCCTAAAGTCCATATATACTTCTAATGTAATATGCGCCAAGAACTGTTCTGATTACACACACACACACACACTTAGAATACAGTATCCGTAGACCTGCCGGGAATGATCGGGAGAGCACGGTAAGCTGCGCCTAAAACACCCCAAACCGTAAAACCCCACAACCCTAGACTGGTTCCCCAACAGCCCTAGTGCTGGGCTTTGGAGTACCATACTTTAATACTTCTTTTGGGACTTGTTACTTAAGCGGAGCCATTATGAAATAAAAGTCTATACTTTATCTCCCTGGTTACTTCAAAGCACAGAGTCCACCCCCCCCCCCCCTCCCGAGCGTTAGTCTAAGGTCAAGGGCTACACACAAAGATCTTGCAGATCGCGGCCCCCTGGCTGAGTTTGTGAGTTTTTCGGGGCTTTGGGGGTTTGTAGGGGGGGATCCAGAGCTTTTTGGCTTTTACCTCGCTTATGGGGTTCAGGTTTAGGCTGTTGGGGCTTTGTGGTTTTCGTTGTGGTTTAACACGCTTTCGGGTCGTTTTTCATTCTAGGGGGCTTTTTCGGTTCACAAGGGGCAAGGTTTCGGGCTTGTAGGATTAATCGTTTAGGGGTTTACCTGGTTGGGGGGCTCTGTAATTTAATTGCTTTAGTTTCGTTTATTGGCTTATGGGGCGTTCAGGGCTTTGGGCTTTTGGGGCTGTAAAGGTTTATGTTTCGAGTTGCTTTGGGGGATTTAGGTTTGCGGGTTGCGGGTGCAGTTTCGGTTCTAAACCCTAAGGCCTAAACTGGATGTCTTGCATGGAATCGCAACATAAATCACCCAAGTAGCCCAGATGGTAGGCCTTGGTATGGGGTCGGGGTCTATGTGGGTATTTGGGGCTTGGGCATTGGCATCGCCGTGGTTAGCTGGTTCGGCTTCTGGCGATCACCCTACTTTTCGTATCTTCTCGCGTTCTCTACTGGATTGTGTTTAGGCGCGTTTGGCCATTCTTCAGGCTCCTGCTCGATAACCTGACATGCTAGACCTGCCGTGCAGATGGCGATTTTGTGGCCCAACACCTAGAAATAATGTAGTCACTAAAATGTTATGCCGGTTCAAGAGAATTCGAGGCTGTAAGTCTCACGAGTCTCCCCGGTTTTGCGAAAGGTTCAATAGAAGCTTGAACAAGTTAGTATATCATATTCCTCAGGATTCAACCTAGAAGCTCGGATAATAACTACTACAGTAGTCTTCTGGCTTCCTTATCATCATAGCATAATATACCTCAAAGCCTTATGCTGCCATTTTAATAGGCCCCTGCATCATTCATGTTCATGGCTACCATTCTCATTGCTGGATGGAATTGCGTGAAGATGAGTGCTTGTTAACTCCCCGTTCTGCTTATTGAACATCCGGGTCCCCGATACGCTCCTCAAAGGGGAAAAGGAGGGACCCTTAATGGGGACGCCTACCCTATAATGGGCTATATAATGGGTATATCATAGCCATATAAAATGTATATACGTAGGGGTCCTTATTAAGGGTCGTCCCTCCTTTTACCCTTGGACCTCCCTAAGCCAAGAAAGGGAATAAGTACCTTGATTTGGTTTGATATGTAGTTAGTGATCAGTACAGTTACCTCATATTTATAACCCCAGTTACTAAAATCCATGATCCTCTAAGCACCCCCCCAAACCCATATATAGAATCCTAATATAGATCCCTTAAAGGATCAAGAAAGAACCCTAGTTACTAAGTCCCATTATCCTCTAAGTAGGTTTCTGTCTCTACTAGACTGGAAGCCCGCTCCATTGAACGAGTGCGCCTCCCAACTCTCCTAAGGCTCCGTGGTACCCTCATAGTATAAAACTGAGGCCTTAGAGTACCTATAACAGGGACCCCTTTAAGGCTTTAGGATCTACTAATATAGTATATATACCTAGGCGTCAAAGTACTTATATATGGACCCCTTTAAGGCTTAAGTATCTACTATAAAGGTACATGGAGCTTCTGGGATCAGTAGGGTTGCCTCGCTGCCTCCTGAGGCAAAAGCGCTGAACGTCCCGATGTCCGAGGGGCACTTAGATTTGCAGTTCTGTTATATTTTCTATTCTATTCTATTTAAAAGAATATCATATATGAGTTTTATTTTATTAGTTTGTATTGTAATATATCATGCTGTAGCAGCGTCTGGGGTAGCAATTACACTGGGCAGGGCAAGTGAAAGAATCCTAGACTCTAAAGCCCCAAACCCAGAACCTTATAGACACTAAAGGCCCCAAACCCTCAGGTTGCGCTTTGTGGCGTTGAGTTTTCTAGTGCCTTGCATCTACTGCCGGGGCCTCATAATGACTAGAATAGGGTTTGGGGATATATTATAAGGAGTCCCCAAAACCCTGTTCTAATTATTACGGCCCCGAAATCATAGTACCCTTATAGTATCACTATAGTCCCCCTTATAGAGTCCTCTTAAAGGAGCCCTCTAAAGGAACCCTATTCTACTTATTAAGGCCCCTACATTACACAGTTGCCTTTTGCTATCGGAGCTTGGCTGGCTCCCTCGGCCATTCTCTCAGCGTCTCCGGCGCGCTTCTGTTTTCTGTTTTCCGTTCTTTGTGCGTGGGGTCATGGTTTCCTTTGTGGGGATCTGAAGGAAGAAGTCACCCTAAACCCAAAACTCTAAACCCTAAACCCCCAAACCGTGTGAAGAAGCTTCCCTTCTGATTAGGGGAAGCGGTGGACTCACGAGTGTTCTTGATGGTCTAGGCGCTCAGATTGCACTGGTTAGCACTAGCTAGCCGGACAGATGGCAGGCGCCCCTGTCCCTGAGAACTTAGTTGACCTGTGGAGCTCAAGACGCCGACAATGGGAGTCTGTTTGAATCAGCTGCGAGGCGCAAGGTAGAGATGAAGAGCCCGGTCGCAAAGCAAGAGAAGGATGAGGTCCGAATTGGGCTTGGAAGCAGCAGGTTCTGACAGCAACAGCCAATTCGCTTCGGCTGCCCATGGAGACCTACACTATGGACTTGTCTCGCTGGTGTTTAGTAGGGAATGGATTATGGAAACTATAATTGGGATTCTGTAGGGGCTACTATACGGATCCATTCCCCCATTCCTGCATGGTTAGCATTAAGAACTCCCAACGGGAGGAGTCTATTGAACATTACTTCAGGGCCTGGGGTTTACATGTAAATGCCGGTATAGTATGAACCTGCCTCAGAAACCGGGAATTACAGTTGCGCCAAGCCTTAGTCTGAGTGTAAAGATGTGGGTTTGCGAGGTTCAGGGAGAGAGGAGGAGAGTTTAGGCCAAAGCTGTTGGTGGCGCTAACCCTGAGAGTCCACACAAAATGCAAACTTCCACCCCCCAGAAGGTTTTCCTACACGTACTTTCACGAGGACCCAGAGTAGGCCCTTGTTCCATTTTTTGAGGCTTAGGTTCCCTTATAAACCCCTTTAAACCAACAAGGGCACCCTTTTTATTCCTAGGTTACTCTTAGGTCTAGTTCAAGTCAAAGCATATGCTATGTCGGTACATACCTGTAGTCTCCATTGTAGTTCCTTTTTTTGGTTGACCAAAATCTCTATTATAGGATCCTGGCCATAAAACTGGTCAACCAAAAAAAGGAACTACAATGGAGAACATAGGTAGACCCTTAGTGGCTGCTTTGACGACCCAGGGAGAAAAAGGATCCCTCAACAAAGATAGAAGCCTTATAAACTATACTTCTAGCCCCATTTAAGGTACTTATAGCCTTAAAGGGAACTCCAGAAAGTTGGAATATGGTTTCAGGGTAGGATACCTTATAATTTACCATAAAGGGTTTAGGATAATCATATTCCAACTTTCGGGCTTTTACTTTACCAAGTCCCATGATCCTCCAAGTAGGCCCTGGAGCCCTACACTGTAACATCCGACAGAGCCAAAGCCGGCACCTCGCCGAAGGCTGTGACTTTCCGGGAGACGGGTACCGATACGGCGTCGGACTTGGTTGCCCTCCTTCTTCTTTTTTTGGATACCTACTGTTCTTTTAATTTTATAGCGGCTCCTACCCATAGTTCTAGGCACATTAGTCTTGTAGTTTCACCATAAAGGTCCAAAGAACACCAAAATTGGGTACTTGGGTTTCCGAAGTAGGTATGTAGGTCATTTCCTTTGTGATCATTAGGTACTTAGTAGGGTACCAGGGTGTTGGCGATGAGCGTTTAGTATTTAAGGTCGAGGGTGACGGTGCAGTGCTTATGGTATGTGGTTTTCACGGCAGGGTTGCGGGTGGATGGTTTAGGGTTTAGGGCATGCTGCCAGCAGGTCCTCTCCGGCGGTGTCGGAAGGTAGGGTTGTCCTTCGCCAGCTTGGTGTATGGATGGAGCAGGATTCTGAGATGTTTTGCAGAGTTCGGATTTCTTATTACGACTCCAGGTTGTTGTGATGGTGTGATTCCTCCGGACATGCACCGGAAGCATCAGCGTCCTGCAGCCTATAACAAGCTACCCTGAACACGAAGGCCCAACATCCTTAAGCCTTAAACCTCGCAAAGCCTGTATGCCCTGCGTCGGCCTACAAAGCCCTGCAGACTCTTGAAGAGCCCGTCAACACGTTGCAATGCCTTGGGCAGCTTGACTCGAGCGAAGTTGCCAAAGCACCCGTCAGCACGATGCAACACCCTAGGGAAATGCAATTCAAGCACGTCTCCTCGTGATCAGGCCCGACAGAGCCTTCGACGACCCGGCAAGCCTACAGCAAGAGCAGCATGATAGATACATGCCTTAATCCTAAACCCTATAGATGCCTTAATGCATCACAACTGCTGCAGCAATCTTGTGACAGCTTAAAACCCTGTTGAGACCATAAGGCTGCCCGAGAAGGATCGCAGAGTCTACATACTGGAGATGCTGCGCTTCATGTGGATGAAATCTTGCAAGCGCATCACAGCAAATACCTAAACTCTAAGCCGCAGCAACCCCCAAAATGGAAACCTAAACTAAGCCCAGAGCCCGAATAACCTGGACCCTCAATTAAGTCATTCCCCAACTCAGGTGCCAAATTCTTCCCCCACGGCTGCGTCGGCCTCAAGCGACATCTACGGCGTCACGGCTCAGATTTACAGCAGTTCGGATAGGGTTCTTGATTGAGGGTGCTTGAAAAGTGTTCTAGGTTTGAGAGGTCTTGGGTTTTTGGGGTTCAGGGGCTTGAATGGTATTCACAGTTGGCGGCTTTATGGCCTTGGGTGCAGCATCAAAGAGAGTTTAGGTTCACGTGTGCATTAGTTTCGAAGCCCAAAGCAACGTTTGTTGGAGTGGACCAGAAAGGGCACCCGGAAAGTCGGAACATGAGTTTGCGAAGACTAGTGCTAAGGCCCCGCATACTTTATCTTATGGGCATCATGATGATACTAATCCAACTTGCTGGTTTCTGTTATATCTGTTTTCACTGTACCTTAAATCACCTGTGCTTTGGGCTCCGCCATAGCGCCCTAGCCATCTAATGGGTTACGCCGCAGAGCCGGCCAATTTAGCACACCTTTTTTCACATTCGACTCTTGGCATCACCCCAATCGCCGAAATACTAAATCCTAATCCTACCCCCCCCAACAGTTCGAGTTGGCAGCCCTGCCCGAGGTATGGCCATTCTCAATGCCTGCGAGCAAATCATGGGCCGCCTGAAGCGCCTCGCCATGTTTTCCTGTGTTGCTCCCGATTCATGGCCAAGGTTTACCACGATCATTACCTATAGTCTCCATTGCGGTTCCTGATTCTGGCCATCCAGTTCTATATGTGTTCAGGGTTCCATGGACAAAACAAAGCAACTAGCACAACAAAATCCTTTAGGTAAAGTTTCGGGTTTAGGGTTGCTCACCAGGTTCTGCTTAAAGGATCGTGCGGCTTAGTATCTAGGGTGATAAGTAACGTAACTATATTATCTTTGATTTATTACGGCCCGAATTAAGGTACTTGAAACCTTACTTACTAAGTCTCATGACCCTTTACAACCCATAGATCCCTTGAAGGAGCCCTGTAAGGAGCCATGTATTAGTTGCCGAAGCCGGTGATCTTCCCGCCAAAAGCCGTCAGCCCTTGACAGACTCTGCCTTGCATTGCCGGGGTTCCTTTAAAGGAACCCCTGAGGGAACCCTTGAAGGATCCCTTAAGGGGACCCTTAAGGGAACCCTTAAAGGATCCCTTAAGTGGACCCTTAACGGAACCCTCAAACGAACCCTAAAGGGTTCCTTCAAGATTTCTGGCGGGACGGGTTCCCTTGTGGGTCCCTTTAAGAGTTCCCTTAAGCATTCCTTTTGAGTGTTCCATCAGAGATTTGAGCTGCTAAAACCCAATTTTGTTGTAGGGTTCGTATATGGGCGTTTCCAAAAAAAGGGGACCCTAAAACAGTACGCTAAATAGTAGGATCCGTATTCTGAGGACCCCAAAATAAGGTGCCCCTAATGTTCGGAAACTCCCATATAGCCTCAAATCGCAGCTGTATAATCATAAACAAAGTTGTTGTGCGCCGGCCTAAACTAAACGCCTCTACTTTCGAGACAGGTCCTCACTCAACACCTACCCTCTAAGCTTATTGAGGTCTCGCAACCTAGTATCATTGCAAGAGTCTGTTGCTTTGCTTCATGTAATGAGTAGGAAGGTAGGTGCACTCTACACCCCAACTCTACACTGAAAGAAAGGAGAGCTCCGAGAAGGGCCCAAAGTCATCTGCGCCAAGCAGAAACGAAACCACAGCAACTTGCCCCAACCCCTAAACCGCTGACAGACAAGTTGGAGAAGACCTCCTCAATCGCAGCAGTTGGTCATCAACCGTTGGGTAGATAGAACTTTATATGAAGCTTTTAATTATAGTCTCCATAGCCCGCTATCAAGCTATCCAAGCCCTAAGCCCACCCTAAACCTCTAAATCCTGAAGCCTAAACCTTTTGCCCATAACCTAGTATGTATAAGCTTTTTTAAGAAGCAACCAAAACCAGTCAAAACCCAAGCCTGAAATCCTGAACCCTAAACCCTACACCCATAACGTGGTATAACTTAGTTTGTTTAAAGCCCCTGAAACCCTGAACCAGTTATAGTTTGTTAAGAAGCAACCAAACCCCGTCAAAACCTAAACCTGAAATCCTGAACCCTCTATAGCCACCTAGCATAAGTTATTACAGTTTTTAGAAGAAGCAACACAGCAAACCTATAACCACCTAGTATAACCCTATGCTTCCAAGGACCTTATAGCTAGGGCCCTAGACCCCTTAAGGACCCAGTAATAAGGTCCCTGGAAGCCTAGGGTAAGTTAAATTTCAAAAAGCAAAACAGCGCAGGCCCTACCTTGAAAAGGCCAAGGGTGACTTCAAGAGCTCCTCCCTCGGATTCCGCCTTGCGGCATAGGGTTTAGGATTAGGGTTCTTACGGTCTCTTTTTTAAGGGTTTCTATATGGGTACTATGGGTTCAAGATTAAGGATTTCGGCTTCATTCCGGCCCGTGGTTTAGGGTCTAGGATTTAGGATTCAAGGTTAGAAGTTGGGGGTTTAGGCTTTAGTGTTTAGGGTCTAGGATTTACCCGAAGGTCCTATGTACATTTATGGGGGATACTTACCTACGTTTGAATAAGAATAGGGTACTTAGGGTTTAGGTTTTTAGGAGTTCAGGGATTTATAGGTGTTGGGCTTAGGTTTAGAGTTTCGTGTTCAGGGAGCTAGGGTTGATTGAATTCATTCGCACAGGGGCTGGAACAAAGAGAGCAGGGCTTTTGCTTTATCAGGGTACAATTATAATCTAGTGCGACAGTATGTATGTTTGTTTCAGGCTTCTACACTAAGTTACTGTAGGCTTCGGGGCCAAAGGTGTTCCTCTGGCTTTAAAGTATTAGGGCTTCTGTGAGGTTTCTAAAAGGGCGAAGAGTCAGCAGGTGACTGAGTCTCGAAGAGACTTCGAGATCCAATTTGTGCGATGCCAACGACATAGCGCAAGCTTACAACTAGAGCTCTATCGCTGGAAAGATCGTATGGTATATGATGCAGCATTTGGTGCCGGAAACAGGAGAAGGGGTACACAAGCACTGACCTTCTGCCATATCTTCTCTGGGCTCTGAAGATGTGAGAGAATCTCTTTTCGCCAGACCCTCCTCGGATTCTGCATGGACGAGGGACGCAGAAGAGGGTTTTCGCATATATCAAAGGGGAAAAGGACGGACACTTAATGGGGACCCCTACCCTAATTATGGGGCTATATAATGGGTATATAATAGCTATATAGAGGGTATATACCTAGGGGTCCTTATTCCTTATTAAGGGTCCCTCCTTGTACCCTTGGAATATAACATAGCGAGACTGCATGCGGCCGTCCCCTGCCCTGTGTCTACAAGCCACGATCCGAATGTAATGTCGAAACGGTTGATGATGTACTTCCTACATTACCTTAATGGCCCTAGACGAGGGGAATCATGGTATGTTCCTTATTATGGGTAATGCAGGGTTTAAATCATCAACCGAAGGAGCGTCTTTTTCCGGCGCTGACGACAAAGAACGCACTTTGAGAAGCATGTTTTGCGGCAGTAGCTTCTCAACAGAAATTGAAATCCATGTCTCTACATCGCACATACTTCAAGAAATGCTTGTAGGGCATGACAGGTTTTGCACTGACTCTTTTTTGGGTGTTTGTAGGGGTCAATGAACGTGATCTCCCTAGCCATCCATTTTCCGCTCGATAAAATCGCAGACCGCAGAGTACGAACCTATTCAGCTGTCCACAAGATTGACCCTAAGGCAGCATGTGCCTATATCGCATACATTTCGGCCGTAATGAAAATACAGGGACCCCTTTCAGGCTTAAGTATAAACTATACTATATAGGTACATGGAGCCCCAGGGTGTCAAGAAAACCTACAACCCTAAACCCCAAACGGGAGTTTCCGAAAGTGGGGGTACCTTATCTTGGGATCCTTATAATAAGGATCCTACTATTTAGGGTACTATATTAGGGTCCCCCATTTTCGGAAACTCCGAAACCCACCAGCCCTAAACCCTAAACAATAAACCCTAAACCCTAAACCCTAAACCCTAAACCCTACCCTAAAACCCTAAACCCTAAACCCTACCCTAAACCCTAAACCCTAAACCCTAAACCCTACCCTAAACCCTAAACCCTAAAAGGTGCCGTGAACACGGCCTACTTCGATCGCTGCGATCTCTCCGCCCACGGCTTCTACGCCACGCCGGGAATAGGTGCGGAGCCTTCAGGGTTTCACCCGAATTCTTAAGGGATTCCTTTTTGGGGTTACCTCTTAGGATTCTTAATATATAACTGGTTAAACCAAAAAAGGTGCGGAGCCTTCAACCTACGGGGGGCTTAGGGTTTTAGGGTTTAGGGCTTAGGGTTTTACGGTTTAGGGCGTAGCGTTTTAGGGTTTAGGGTTTAGGGGTTTAGCAGGTGCGGAGCCTTCAGGGTTTCACCCGAAATCTTAAGGGATTCCCTGTAGTCTCCATTGTGGTTCCTTTTTGGGGTTACCTCTTAGGATTCTTAATAGATAACTGGTTAAACCAAAAAAAGGAACTACAATGGAGACCATAGGTAAGGCTTTGGGGATTAGGGGTTCAGGGCCCAGGGGCAGAATTAGGGTTTAGGGTTTCTGCGCGCATGCCATAAATACTGTTTACTTTAAGTTGGTGTTGTTTCTGTTGAGCTTCAGCGTCTTCGGGAGTACAGTGCTTCTCTGCCTTCTACTTTGGGGATCATGGGACTTAGTAACTAAGAATATGAGTAAGGTAACTATCAGGTATCTCCTTAGGAGGGTCCGGAATCTCCTAGGGAGAGTGCTTGGGTGTCTTTGGGGTCTCAGAATCCCTTAAGATTGAGGTTCCCCAATTTGTTAGGACCCTTAGGGTACGGTTTGCACATGCGATTTTAGAGAGATGGGTGTTTTGTGCTCTTGAACCCGCTAGGGCATCGGGATGCTCGTGAACACACGATTGCGGCTCCTTGTTCTTCGTCTTCAGGGGTTTAGGGTGCCCCGAAGAGTCATAGTGTACAACTTGGATGTAAGTCGTCCCCACCATGCGTAAGCTTGGGGCCTCTGAATAGTTACTACTCTTTCGGGGCTTTCGTATCATAATCATAGTATGCTATACTCCGACACTCTGTTCGAATTATTAAGGCCCCTCTGTTATGATGTTCTCGGGTCCTAGTTCCTTCCTTCAGTAATCTGTTGCACGGTACAAACAATATCAAGTTTGTACTTTTGATTTACACATGTAATGATCGTTTGATAGTCATATCCCCGTATCGCACCCTATGCAAAGCCTGCATAACTCCGATCAAACCACGACCTTGGCAGGCTACGACTGGTCGCTGCCTGACGACCAGAGAGGCACAATGGACATCTGGGGGGATTGAGAGCGTGTAGGCGCTGCACTACAACCTATAAGCCTAAACCCGAATCCCTTGATCCGACAGAATCCCCTAAAACTCTAAATCCTGAATTAGAGCATTTGGGGTTCACCAAAACATTGCAAACTGGAACAGATCTGCGTAGTTGGTGCTGGCATTCTTTCTTGTCTGCAATTAGGATGCTCAGAGTTTCTCCATTTATTGCAGTTGCTGTCAAGGGTGTACGGATTCAGGACGTCTCAAATTCAATTTTAGGCTTCTGGGGCTTGAGGGCTTGACGGGTTCGGTGCTTGGGGTCAAGGGTACAAACCGAAACCAAACGGAAACCGGAAACCCCTTCGCCCCAAACCCGAAACCCTAAACCTGAGAACCCCTAACGCTTAAAGGCAAGCCCTTCAACTACTTCACCTACGGCGCTGCTTGTTCCGAAGTGGAGATCGACGTGCGGAGCTTGGATTGTCTGCAGCTGGGAAGTTTCCCGAGAGTCCAAGACCTTCCCCTTGGTTTATAAGGCAAAATCGTTTAGCATCCCAACATGTGATTAAATTTTGGTTTGCGGATTTGTGTTTAGGCACCAGGATTCAAAGTTGCTGGTTCAGGAGATTTGGAATCAGGGCTGAGTCCAGGGCCCAGATTCAGTCTACTTTCTACCAGCACCTCTCGAGTGGTCAGTTAAAACATATGTATGTTCTATCCAGGACTCTTTTTTGACAAAAGTGTATGCGTTTTCGGGCCGGGCGACGCAAGTAGTCCGGAGATTCCCATGGCTGTTGAAAGTACCCCTATTACCCCCCAAGCCCTAAACGATGTAATACCTCTCCACAAAGAGCTCACATCAGATCCCGGTTTGGGAACCCTGTTTCCCTAGGGATCAAAATAGCCAAAAAGCTGTATATAGTATGGTCTTTGGGCCCAAAAGCCTTAATATATGAGTCCTTGGATCCCTAGGGTTGTGTGCTACATAAGGCTAATGTCAATGAATATTCTGGGTCTATTCGGAGTGTTAGCGTAAGACATCTCATGAAGCATTCCACCGCTCTCGTCGAGGTGTTGACGGGTGACATGCGCATCTTGCGTCGCAAGCCCGGTCATCTGCGGTGGTATGGTTGAACCTGCACGGTTAGTTTCATGGTATCCCTTTCTAAACGTTTAACTATTGTGGTACAGTCAAATGAATAGAACCCCCAAACCGCGTTCTGTTTCTCAAGGCGTCTGGTGCTGTGACTGTGGGAGAACCCGGAACTTATGTCCTAAGGTTTCAAGTCTAAGTGTGTAAGGGTTTAGGGGTTGGCGCCCTTTTCAGGTCTTGGGGAAATCGACTTGTTTAGTTCTTTGAGTCAGCCGCGAAACGTCCAGCAGGAAGCCGTATCATTGGAATATGGCGGGACCGCAATGTCATTATCCTCGTTCCATCCTCCGGCGTCACAGGCGCGATGGTGGCCAAACTCGTCCATTTCCGTTCCGTGCAGCTTCATGTGATCATCACAAATGTTTGAACATCTTCTCAGACTGTATGTTCACGTGTTTGCGAGAATATATAGAGTCATATACGTTCACGTGTGCAGATCTGTATGTGTGCATGCATGTATGTATGTAGGTGTGTATGTGTATGTAGGTATGTAGGTATGTCGTAGTTACGTGGCTATGTGGCTATGTAGGTATGTGGGTATGTGTATGTATGTATATATATATATACACGTATACGTGCACGCGCGTGAGTCCGCATGTGGTAAGACAATCTAAGACGCGCTGCTTGCAGTTGGGCCCGTCCGAGTTCCGAGTTTAGGATCCAGTCTCGTCATCGAAGGCAGCGAGGGATCTTCCCCCAACCCTACATCCCCACCAGAACCTTAAACCCTCAACCCCGAGCCTTGAGCCCTAAACCCTAAAGTCCAAACCCTGAGCCTGAAGCCCTAAACTTTTGACTCCAACCCCTGAGCCCTAAGCCCAAAACCCTCAAGCCTAAACCCAACACATGTCCTTGTGAACCCTCGACCGGGTCCTAAGCCGCTGTAACTCCAAATTGCGACAGTGATGATCATGAGTTCACCTCTTCGTGTGAAGTGCCTTGTGGTGTCAGGCCTTGAGGTGGACTGGAGCTGTGGATAGGAGGGCAATATATTGTCTAAACAACTTGACCTACAATCGACCCTATAAACCTTAAGCCCCCAACCCTAATACCCTATAAGCCCCAGGGGACCATCATCACCAAAAAGATGGATGCCCAAGCTTACAGTGGTAAGGCTTACAGGCTGACGGTTTGCCCTTGCATCGCAGTTCCGGGAGACAGGCTATAATTCCGAGAAGGAGGTGCTCACGCACTCAAATATCGTGCCCCATCGAGCCCAGTCTACGAGCTGGCAGGTGTGCGGCACCGTCACGTCAGGCGGGGGACGATGGCTGGATGGAGGTAACAAAGAAAGCTCGCAGACCTCCGTGCCAGGACAGCTCGCCATGGACCTTGCATAACCGATGTATGGGGGGTTTAGGGTAGGATGGCGGAGGGACGGATGGTACGCCTCCTATCCGGCGAGGAGCTGGGCCTCGCCGAGGCACGGGGAAGGGGTGGAGGGAGCCTTTCAGGCGACCTCTACCTTCCAAGCAGCCTGCTATCAAATTCAGGCCGATTGAGGCCGTCAGCTGCGCGGCGCTGGATTGCACCGGGGAGGGCCTTCGACCTACCTTTGAGGAGGTCTGGGAGACAGTCGAGGAGTTGCCACCCTAAGCATCCATACTTCCCTAAACCCTAGACCCCAAACCTTAAACCTAAACTGTAAACCTTGAACAATCAGTAGAGGCAAGCGAAAGAAGGAGATTAAAGAAATGCCCCTAAACCATCACAAAGCCTCAAACCCAATGCCTTAAGACCTCAGGTGCGGACCTACACATGGATGTGGGCAACAGCCTGAACCCGGCCATCGACATAGGTGCGGCCCAATTTACGGGGTCTAGGGTTTAGGTTTAGAGGTAGGGCTTACTTAGAATTCATTTTTAGAGATTAGGGTTTAGCAGGGTTTTCAGTTTATATCCTCGGGTTTACATAGGGTGATTAATGTTTAGATTTTAGAGTCTAGGGTTCAACGTTTAGGGTTTAGTGCTCCGGGCTTATGGTTCCAGGTTCACGGTTTAGGCTTCATGGTTAGTTTTTTGAGTTTTTGTAAGGGCTTTACAGGGTCTTGTAGGGATTGCCGGAGGTGCAGGGAGCTGTTTGTTCGAAGACGCCGCTTTCAGTGCAATTCAGTCAAACTCTCTTTACTTTGTTGTCCACACGACAGCCCAAACCCAAAAACCCTAAAGCCCAATGCCTAAACACCTGAGGCCCTAAACGCCGTTAGAGAACCCGTACAGGAACCCCAAGCCTCGAGTACGGTTCCCAATGATAACTAACAGCACCACCGCACAGTCCCGGCAAGCATCGACTATAATAGACCCCAAAGCAATTAGAATCATAACGGAGCTGCTACTAAGCCCCGTTTGTAAGAGCCCTTAAAGGCTAAGGTTCTTATATCAAAGCCCGTTACAGACGAGCCTTTCATAGAACCCCTGATTATGTCACCTTCTCAAGAACTTGCTCAAGAATTGAACCACATGATCCTTAACATAAGGGGCCGCTTACAGTTATTAAGAATCCCCATATGGTAGATATACATATATACATGTATATATGATGCAGGGCTGCCACCCCCCTCCCCCCCCCCCACCACCCCTTGGTATGGTGTCCCCCTCCTGCCGTGGGTAGTCTTCTTGCTTGGCCTTGTTGCTTTCCCTTCTTCCTGGGTGGTCGTGTTTGGCCTTGTCCTCTCCCCCCACCCTGTGGAGTGGGGCCTGTGGTCTTTTTGGTTGGCCCCGCCCCGCATGTGGGGAGCAGTGTGTTCTACAGATTCTACAGAGGTATGGTATGGTTGTTAGTAGTAATGTCATCGTTACGTGCCTTGTCTCCTCCCCCCTTTGTGGGGTGGGGCCTGTGGTCTTGTTGGTTGGCCCCGCTCCGCTTGTGGGGGGCAGTGTGTTCTGCAGAAGTATGGCATGGTTGCTGCCGCTTGTTAGTAGTAATGTCATCGTTACGTGCTCGTTACCATACTACAAAATTTGATGTTGCAAATGGTGCCCCTGTCCTCGGTCCTTGCTCTGATGCGGTTCTCCGCTCTGTGAAGAAGCACTGGCCGGGATCATTCTCCATCGTCCTCCCTCCTTCTGGTTTGCGTAGGTTCGTTCCGGGTTGTGCGGCACCGCTGGGAGCGGGGCGGGCCAGGGGTCAGGGTCGGCGGCCGCGGGGCGGGGGGGGGTGGGGGCCCGGGACCCGAGAGCATAGTATACATATAGATATGTACATTCAGGGACCTGTACTACCCTGAAAAGGAACCAGGGCGCTTGAAGGGATTAACTTGAATCCTTATATAGTATGGTATATATTTGAAGGAGCCAACCTAAACCCCACTAAACCACAGTCACAATCCCTAAACCCTACTCCCCATAAGCCCTAAACCCTATACGGTATATACTTAGAGGAGCCACCCTAAACCCGAAAGGTCCGAAACTGCACAAGCCCTAAATTCCGTATATGCTTAAAGGAGCCACCCTAATCAAGCCCTATGAACCCTATAATCTCTAAACCCTGGAATCCCCCAAATCCTTATACTTATCGTATATAATATACTTAAAGAAGCCCAAGCCACCCACATGGTACCCTAATCCTTAAACCGTATAGATTCCCAAAAGGAGCCCTTAAAGGAATCCCTATAGATCCCTTAAAGGAGCCCGAAGCGTCCCCTATAGATCCCTTAAAGGAGCCTACTTGGAGGGTCGGGGGACTTCGTAACTGATTGTTTTAGGGACTTATAAGTACCATAAGCCCAACTAGGGCCGCTTTTGGGGTACTTATAAGTCTACTTACTACCTACTTACTAAGTCCCCCGACCCTCCAAGTAGAGCCTCCCTCTTGCAGGTCAGGTGGAGGGCGCCTTCACGCAGGGCTTCGGCTGGGCGACCCTCGAGGCCTTGTAGGGGCAGAGCTTTGTTTCAGAAATATCCCTTTTAAGGGCTAAAGGGATCTAGGGGGTTCCTTTAAGGGATCCATTGGCATTTCCTTTAAAGGCTCCCTCCAGGGATCGTTCCTTTAAGGCTTGTCTTTTGAGGGTACTCTAGGGTTTTATTGTTAGGGTTCCTGTAAGGGTAATTGCTATAGGCTGGGGTTCTATAGTTAGGGTTCGTTTTGGGGATGGGTACTATAGCGTTCTAAAGGTAGGTTTCCCTCTAAGGGTAGTTACTATAAGACTCTAAGGTATCGATTTGGGATCATTTCAAATTTCGCTTTTTGCTTAGTATAGAGCCCTTAAACCCTAAACCCTAAACCCCTGATTATCAGCGCTTTGGGGGGCTGTTGAAATCGACCCCTAGTTCAGGGATTCCCGACTTTGGGTCACTCTTGGGGGACGTTTGGTTGAGCTACAGTTTCCTTAGGAACTACTATTTTTTGTTTTTGCTTATATATAAAAACCAAGAGAATATTGAACATATTGTTTTTCTTCTGGGGTATAGTGAGGATGTAGGGTTCAAATGGGTTTAGGGCCCAGGGAAGGTTTTAGGCTGTCCCGGCTTCGGGACCTTAGGTCTTAGATTCTAGATGCTTTGCAAAAAAATGCTCCTGATGTCCGACCAGCTACCCATAAGGGTTCCGTTTAAGGGTACTATAGGGTTCTATAGTTAGGGCTCCTTTAAGGGAGTGCTACGGGGCCGCAGCGACTGCCCCTAAGGAGAGAGATGGGCACCGACCTGGAGCTGTCGCATGCCGCCATCGACAGTGTCATTGGCCTCCTGGACTATGGGCAGAACGGCCAGATCAGGGCTGCCCTGACCATGACCATCGCGATCCAGGCTGGGTCATGAGCCGTTGTCGACAGCCTGAGCCTCGTGCGTGGGTCGTGCGTTTGTCGACGGGACCGCTCAAACTGCCCGTTTTTGTGCTGCCCTCCACTGCCTGCGCTGCCCTATCACTGCCACTGGCGTCAAAGGGACGTCGGCCGATGAGTCTGAGCACACCACGAGCCCAAGCCCAAGCGCGAGTAGAGCGTCTGCGTCCCAAGAAGACCCCAGTGCCGAAACGGAACTAGGAAGCCCAGTAGTACTCTTATTCCCTTTTTGTAGTCCTAGGGTCCTTCTAAAGTTACCTACTACCAAAAAGGGACCCCTTTTTATTCCTAGGTTGCTGCGCATCCTAGGGAGGGTCCTGCCCGACCTTTAAAGTTTTGGGGTTCTTGTTGTTTAGTAGGAATCGGAAAGTTTAACCTTTTGTTTCTGGGGCTGCTTCGCAGGATTTCAGCAGTAAGGGCTTGGCCTGTACCCTGGCTTCATAGTTTACGGTTTAGGGATTATGATTTCCTTATGTAAGTCAAGAAAACCGTAAGTTTAGGGTTTAGGGGTTCAGGGATCAGGGTTTAGGGCTTATAGGGTTCAGGGTTTATGTATGGTTGCCTCGGCATGTTTAAGTTTGTTGTCAGGGTCACTGGGCCCAACGAGGGCAGATACAGTACTAAGATCACATCATGCACAACGGTAGCTTCCACAAGGCAGGATAGGTCGGATAGGTGCTGCAGAGTCTTTTGGGTTGACAGATCTGGAACGGCTCCCAGCATGAAGAGGAGTTGCGTTTCGTCTCCACCAGTATGTGCTGCAATACTGCTGCAATCAAACAGCTAGGACTACAGTAAGAGGCATTGCATCGCATGCTTGGCGAAGTAGCTTCAATACATAAGCTTTCCAATCCTCCGCTCCCTAAATCCTTAACGCTAGCCCCTCAACCCCTAAACCCTCAGCCGATTCCCCAAGCTGAAGCTGATGCTTCCTTGGGGAAGAGTAGCCTAGTGCTCACGCAATGAAAGCAAGCATGCAGGAGACTGTTTGGGGCTGCAGCGAGTTTCCCTGGCTGAGTCTTGGCATGATGGCAGTTGGGCCGTTTTGCGGGTCAAGTTTTAGGGTTTGGGGTATACCTGGACGCCTTTAACGACCCGTTGTCATGTTCCCACATTCCCACTATGCAGGACCATAGGGCTGTATGACGGGTAATTTGGGGGTCGTGGGGTTCGGCAGCTGTGTAGTCTTGAGTCGATTGCAAAGAGCAGCGACTTGGCATGGGGAGATTCATCGTAGCAGTGGCGGTGGACGTTGTTGAAACCTACGTCAAAACAGTCGTTTGGAGCATCATCTGTTCAGTGCGTCACAGCGTTACCCTGAGGGTCCATAGTCTACCATCATGGCAGTACATGGAGGCTTCCGAGAATAGGGGACCCTAGTATAGTACCCTAAACAGTAGGATCCTTATTATAAGGACCCCTAAATAGGAACCCCTAATTGTCGGAAACTGCCACATTAGCATGCCGTGCACCCGAGCACATGTAAGTCCAACAAGCATGAAGCCAAAGACGCCAATAGTAGAGCCTATAGACCCCTTAAAGAATGTCGAAGCCGTGCCGAAAGATGCTGCGAAAGAGATGTCCGGGCAGAGCATCCTTCCTGGCTCGAGATTTCGCAAAACGTCGTGGAAATCTGACACTATATTTTTCAAACTCAACCTCAAGAAACCCGAAAGCCTAATTCAGCGTTAAGCCCATAACCCAAAGCCTACGGCAGGAAAAGTGGTTGCAACAATCAGATACATGGAGTTTAGACTAAGGCTTCCTAGGAAGCGTAAGGGTTTAGGGTTGTTTAAGGTTTTTAGGGTTTAGGGTTTTTTAGGGTTTAGGGATTTTTAGGGTTTAGGGTTTAGGGCTCTTTCATGGTTCAAGGTTTTTTAGGATTCAGGGTTTTTTAGGGTTTACGGTTGTTTAGGGTTTAGGGTTTAGCGGTGCAATCGGAACACAGCAATTGGTAAACTGCAATGCTTGCTCCCACCATTCTCGGTTTCAAGCACGGGAATGCGAATGTTCTGATTGTCCTGCCGGTTGAAGCACTTGAATAGATGTAGCTCTAGAAACCCTATGCTTCCAAGGACCTTATAGTTAGGGCCCTAGACCCCTTAAGGACCCAACAATAAGGACTCTGGAAGCATAGGGAAATGTATTTGTCCATCTGGCGCACTCAGGAAGCCGGGCGTTTGCATGACGAGGGGCCCCGGAACATACAAGTGGCACGGCTGGACATTCAATGGATCAGATTGGGGCGCGGGGCAGGGGTGTTCGGTTTTGCAAGAAATTGCTGAAACGGTATAGGTACTTGTATGAGGGATACTTGCAGAAACCGTACTACGAACTCGTCGTGTGGGTCTGAAACATTAATTAATTAGTATTGCGTGGACAGACGCTGGCATCCAATGCCCGGTGCACTGCCATGTAATTTTTCAAAAGGACTTTTGCCCCCTCGGAGGTCCCGAAGAATGGGTATGGGCGACTGGGTTGGGGGTAAATACGGAGAACGGGTATGGGCAACTGGGTTGGGGGTGATCACATTGCATGGAGATCAAACAGGGACTAATTTCGCGGTTTGGGGTATACTGCTGTATTAATTCTTAGGGGTACTTATCAAGAATTGTTAATCTTTGGTTCTTTCAATCCCTAAGAAACAGCTAAGATTACAATTGTTGCTCAGGGTTTAAGTTCAGTAAAGAATAATTGTATACAGTATGGGAGCAGGAAGGGGATGGTCGTATTTCAGGCTATCCATCCGTGTCGTACAGTCTGCAAGGGGCACCAGTTGCGTGCGACTACTACATGGGGCCATGCTTGTTCTCCTGTGAACAGCTCAAGGCAGCATGTTCGGATGCATTGCATAGAAGCCTAAATAGTTACCAATATTATTCATATAGGGCTCAGGGTTCTTTATCAGTATTATACAATATTGTACCCCAAGACCCTATTCTAATTATTGAGGCCCCTACATGAGTGGGTGGTACTTGTGAGTTTCAGATGTAGAGTTTAGAGCCATGGTTTTTGGGTATGTCACTTTTGTCTCCCAGGTTCGTGGTGTTGGATTCAATTTTAGTCTTTAGGGTTTTGGGGTTTTAGGGTTCAGGGTGTTCTGGGGTTTACGGTTTTAGGGCTTAGCGTGTGTTCCTGATTCAGGGTTTCGGCGTCTAGCTCTATGGTTTGGGAGTTGTGGCTTGCTGCGTAGCTGGATTTGCGTTCGTACATCCAAGCCCTGAACCTCAGACTCTCGGCCCTAAGCCCTAATTACTTGTTGGCTGTAAGCTCAACTTTTCAGCTTTTGGAGCTCTTATAAGGTAGTCTATTCTGAAAGTTTCAACTTGCATTTTATTGGGTTTTGCGCCTGTGAGATTAAGCCCGTTTAGAGATTTGTTTATGGAAACCATAACAAGGAACCCTAAAACGTATGGTATACAGGGTCTGGGTAAGCCCTATATAACCCTACACCCTAATAGCTGAGGTTCAGATTCATGTCCCGCAAATATCATAGCATAATCCTCCTGGTCCTTCAAGCCCAGAGCAAGTGAGAATGCAAGTTTAGGGTTCAGGCCTTACAAAGGGGTTTGGGTACTTTACGGCTTGAGTATATGCTACAGAGGTACATGAAGCTGTTGGATGAGGGAGCTCTTTCGCAGGGTCCGTAGACCTTTAGGGCTGGAAGGGTAGCCGTCAGGGGGCTTTATTAAGCTGATGAGCATCCCACCGGAGCATGTGCTGTAGCACCCCCTCCCCTTATCCGGCCGTAACCTGGAGGCCTTAACCTTCAACCCCGAAGCCCCCACAATAATATAATAACGGTATTCAATAGTAGAAGCACTACTCATTGTAATAGACTTACTCTTATCAATAGTAATAGTAACAACCGTAGCAATAATCCTAATCATAGTATTAAGAGTAGTAATCGACAACACCTTGGCATCGTATTGTAGGTTTCTGGTTGAAGACCCGGCCATTGCCCTGCCTCGGCCCTAAGTTTACTCTAAAAGCTCTACAATCCCGTAATTAGAGGATCATGAGACTTAGTAACTTAGGGTTGCAAGAAAGGTGGTTATAGTTATTATAACTACTTAACACCTCAGTTAAGCTACTCATAACCTTGCTAAGGCCCATGTCCCTCCGAGGAGTTAAACCCCTGACTAGGATGCGCAATACTACACTGATTACCTTGTTTGTAGTCCTAGGTTCCTTATACAGTTGCCCAATACCAAAAAGGGAGCCCTTTTTCTTAGAACTGGGCATCCTAGATCCTTAAACCCTGTAAACCCTATAAAACCTATAAACCTCTATAGATCCCTTATAGATCCATTTAAGGGAGCCCTTATAGATCCTAAATCCGAACTCTCAGTTGCATGGTGCCGAGGATTCCCTCCTTTAACGACACGCCGGTAGACATGAGGGTGACTCTGGTCAAGGAGCCCGGGGTTTCTGTTTTGGGTTCAGGGTTTTAGGGTTCGGGTTAGGAGTTTAGGGGTTTAGGGTTTAGGGTTTAGGGATTTAGGGTTTAGGGGTTTAGGGTTTAGGGGTTTAGGGATTTAGGGTTTTCTATTTGGGTTCCGGGTTTACTTAAAGGACCATGGGACGTAGTAACTAGGGTCACAAGTACGGTAACCATGCTTAGAACCCCAATTAAGGTACTTAGAACCTTATTTACTAAGTTCCATGATCCTCCAAGTAGGGGTTTAGGGATTTAGGGTTTCTAAGGTACTCATAACCTTATTTACTAAGTTCCATGATCCTCCAATTAGGGGTTTAGGGATTTAGGGTTTCTGTTTTGGGTTCAGGGTTTAGGGTTCAGGGTTCAGGAGGCGTTCAGGGTTTACCTGAAGGCTCAGATTAGGGAACTTTGCAAGGGCTCTAAGGACTCGTATATCAAAGCCTTTGGGCCCGAAGATCATAATATATCAGGCTCTTGGGCTAATTTGAGCCCCAGGGGAAGGGACGCAAAATTCTTGAAAGGTCAGCTGTTGACTCTATAAACCCTAAACCCTAAACCGTATAGGTGAAAACTGTCGCGTCCGGCCCAAGTGGCGCAGGACTCTGCGAATCCGAACGCAATCCACTCCTCGCGGGCTCGCAGCCTCAGAACTTCAGGTAGCAATCGGACTGACTAGGGATTGAGTAGTACCCTTAAAGGGTTCCTTTACGGGATCCTTAAAGAGTTTTATAGGGGATCTATGGGGGGTTTAGGGTCTAAGTTTAGGATAGGGGGTGCTACAAAGACGCTTGCAATTGGATTCAGAAGCCTTTCCATGAACATTGAAGCCCACTGCTCAACCCGTTAACCAGGAATAGCTAAACCCCAAAGCTCGTGAACCCGAGATGGTGTTTTGGACCTGGGTTTCCTGGTTTGGCGGTTTGGGGTTTCCGGAGCAGAGCAAGCATTCGGTGTCATTGACATCATGCGCTGTATGCCATACCGCTCCATGTGCTTGAGCCTCGAAGGAAGACCCTGAGCGTGTGCATGATGGCAATCCTGTGCTATAAACCGCGCAAGTCCTTGAACTTACACCTAGACCCAGCCGGGCCGTTATGCATTGTGGCCTTTGCTATCCGAAGTTCAATTAGTTAGGGTCCCTTCCAGGGTTCCAAAGAAGCAGAAAAGTATCCGAACTTGGCTCTGGCAGCCTAGGGCAAACCGCAAAGCAGTGCCAATAAACAAAATCCAATCGTTATCGCCAAGGCAGGACTAAAGCCCTCAAGCCCTAAACCCCCTAAGCCCTAGACCCCTAAATGATAAGCCTTGAAGCCCTAAACTCCCAATGAACCCTTACAAGCCTCAAATGACATTCCCTGTGGCCCAAGATAGAGATCCGTCGGCTTGCATGGACCATTCCCAAAAGCTCCATGTACCTTTATGGTAGAACTTAAGCCTTAAAGGGGTCCCTATATAGGTACTTTAAGGCCTTAGTATATACTCTAAGGGTACATGGAGCTTTGAGAGAAGCTCAATAGAAGTTACTATATTTCAACTTTCGATACAGTTGACACTAGATGTCATGACAACTTACAGGTTCAAACCTCATGTTTCGCAAACGATGATAAAAAGTGACCTCTGGCAACACCCTCCGAAGCCCAAAATCGCATATAGCAACTGTGTGAATTTCCTGACAAACAACCTTCGAAGAAACCCCACCCTAAAACCCTAAACCCTTAACCCCTAAACCCTAAACCCTGCAACGGCGTCCCAGGCAGTTGGCGAACCTCCCTTCTTCCTTGGGTCCTCAGCTTTCTTTGCCGCCCGGGGCCTCAACAGCGTGTTACAGGAGGTTGTGAAGCCCTGTAGGGTAATTCCAAAGGATCCATCTACTTACATAGTATATAGTTTGTATATAGGAGTTTCGGAAAATAGGGGTACCAGATTTTGGGGTCCTTATAGTACTATACTAGGGTCCCCTATTTTCGGAAAAAACTCCCATATGGTTAGGCCTCAACAGGGTGCCGATGTGGGACATGCACGCTCTGATGGATTATCTGCTGGGGCTGTCGCCCACAAAGAGGTGCGCAAACTCTCGGAAGCAGAACTGGACTCTCTCGAAAGTTTTATCGATTCTTGGCCGAAGATACGGTTGCTGGCAGACTTTCAGATGCTGTTCGAGGTAACTGTCGTATCGACCATTGCACAAGTACGCGTGCAGTTTTGGAGCAGCCACGTGGAGCATGGAAACTTTGAGTGTGGGCTGGGGAAGCACCTGGTCACCTTGAACCCCAACTCTGAGGCCAAGTTGCTGGGGCACCAGGTGGTTCAATAGTCTCTACCGCATGCCCGTAAAGGTTATGCTATGCGAGTGTTCTATGTTGGTGTGTTGGTGAAAGATGTTCTGAGGGTTTTCAGGCTCCAATACAGCAATGTAGTGGCCGGAATAAAAACTAATGGTAACTAATGCGAATAGTTACTCCTTACAGTTGCAATAACATATGTGCACCCAGGTACATCATAACTGGATATGGATATCGCTGAGGATATTGTGCGAAGAAAAACTATGTCTTTTCGGTTGCCTCTCCGGACAATCTGTAGACACCCAGAGTACCTAACCCGCCAAAGCCTGTCCTCAGTGCCTTTGGTTGTGCGAGTTTGGGGTGTCTTGGTCAAGTCTTCTCTCGACCTACCACACCTTCCTTTTTGTTGGCTCTTATGAAAAACCCTAATATGGAATTTATAGGGACCCACTTTTTTGTAGGTTTTGGTAGGTTAAGGTCAGGAGTGTCAGAGCCTGCATTATTTTTCTACGCCCGCAAACACGAAATCCTAAAGTCGGCTGACTCGAACACGATACCGAAATACATATGTATTAAAATTCTAGCAACAGCAACAATACTAATTTTACCAACAGTAATAACAGTAAGTAAGCTAATTGCTAACATTTAATGGCTATGCCCCCGAAGATATTGCAACCTAATTCCAAAACACCCTGACCTAAACTCTAAATCGTGCCCAGCAACTATATACAGAGAGCTCCGATTCAGCAAACATCTCATTCGCCCAGCCTCAGACCTTAAACCCGATTAAGGCTTGAAACCGTTGACCCTAAACCAGTAGGGTGAGGGGTTTACGGTTCATAGGTTCATCGAGCTGCAGGATCGTCGGGTTGTTGGATCATTTCTAGCCTCAGATCCCAAACTTTAAATCACAATGCCTGAAGTCCTTAGCATGTAAACTTCCAATACCAACAGAGGAGACTTGAACAGTGGAAGCAAGTAAAAGTGTGTACTACAGCACAAATCAACGAAACCACATTGCTTGCTTCGACGTGACTCGAAAAAAGGCTCGCGAAGCAATCGCTGCGGCGAGAAAGGAGATCTGACCAGGGAATTTCAGGGGGTTAAAAGTCATACAGGATTGCATAGTGCGTTACTGGGTTCAAGATAGGACACTTTAGAGCCTCTAGAGGGTGCTAGGGCTTAGATTGCCCATTAGTCCCTAACTAGAGAATAGTACATGAGTTCAATAGTTCCCTCAATTAGGGATAATGATGGTCCTATCGGGGATTTCAAGAGGAACCCTAATTTAGAGAACTGCCCATATAGGTTTCCGAAATACGGCTCTGAGACGAGTTTTTTATCGGGCCGAATGAGTTTTCAGGGTTGGGGCATTTAGGTTTTGAGGATGCATGGAAACTCAAACGAACAGTGAGGAGATCAAGATACCAGCCAGAAGAGCCACGAAGCCTAGGTTCCTGGGTAGTAGCCTTCTGCCCCATACGTTTTGAGTTCTCCTGATTAAGACAGAATATTCGGAAAAAAGGGTACACTTATCATTAAGGGAATGCTGCAGCGCGTAGATAAGCTCTTCTGGCATCTAACTTTAGTCTCCATTGTAGTTCCCTTAGGTTGACCAAAATCTCTACTATAGGATCCTAACCATAAAACTGGTCAACCAAAAAAAGGAACTACAACGGAGACTATAGGTACCTACGAAGTTACCAGGATGCTGGCGCGGGAGACGACTACTTCACGGTGGACCTTCCGCTGACTCCCGAGAGGATCAGAATGGTGCGCCCAGCCGCCTTGTTGGTTTTGGATTCAGGGTTTGGGATGACAATAGAGGCCTAAATAACTACCAACACTACTTCGGGGTTCCTTATTAGAATTATTATAATGGGCCCCCAAACCTTATTCTAATTATTAAGGTCCCTGTACTAGGTTTCACAGTGCGGTTTGAGTGCAGGGTTCAGCGTTCATAAGATTAGGCGATGTGCCGACGTGGCGGTTGTCACTGGTCGTCTCCTTGTTTGCCATTCACAGCGATTTCTCGACTATAGAGGTAGATTGTAATATTACTTACTCCGGTATGGGACACCATATGTTGTCATACTGCACTTGCCGGCCTACTCGACGTTCCAGGACATTCGTGGATTCTGGATTCCCCAACGCGAACGAGCAGCAACCCCCGTGGTGCAGATCTACACCTACTTAACCCTACACCCCTAAACCCCTGATGTGGATTTTCCGGTGGCTGGCGTTGGTGGACCGTGGGCGTGGGCCTGTGCGCGCACGCAGAAAGGCCACTACACCCCGAACTCCGAAGAATCCTCAAACCCTGGCTTTCCTACTGCAGATGCTGCTCAATTGAAACCGAAACCCTTAAGCCCCTAACCTAAACCCCTAAGACAGCCCCAAGCATGGTCAAAGATCGACATGCAACATGGGCGGCCAAACAGAAGGATGGCACAGGGGCTGCTGAAGTTGAAGGCATTGCTGCAAAGGTCTCAGAAGAAGAATCCATTGAAGCCATCAAACGTGCTCTGGCCAACGAAGTGGTGAAGAAAGCTGTTGCAGCCGCTGCAAAAGCTTCAGCCACTGGCAGTCAAACCACTCGTGATTACCGCGAGTGGTTTGACTCGTTGTCATCAGAGCAGACTCGTGACGTCTTCATATGGCTCACCGTAGAAGGCCTTGGTGCTGACAGCAAAGCTTTGGGAATGGCTCAGACAGCAAGAGAGGTGGCTCCTTGGCTCACATCCCAGTCATGCTCGGGCGCACAAAGGCGTTCTCCTTAACGAGATCGCGGACTACGTTGCAAAATCTGCGGCTGCCCAGAATCATGTCTCTAAGGTGTTTAGGACACCTAAACCCTTAACCCTAAACCCCTAAAGCCCTACAGACCTTAAACCCCTAGCCCTAGTATGGATCCTCTGGGATTATAACAACTTCACAAGAGCTTAGGAACCCTTTAAGGAATCCTAAGCCCTAAGCCCTTAAAGGAATCCTAAAGGGACCCATTGGGCTTCAGAAGAACCCGGCTTGTGGAGGCCTGCGGTGATCCCATCGCCTCGAAGTTTTCGGAGAAGTCCAGTCGCCGGGATCCCGGGGCCGGGGCGGGGTCTTTGAGGGTTTAGGGGTTTGGGGTTTAAGGGTTTAGGGTTACGAGTTTAGGGTTTAAGGGTCTAGGGGGGTCAGGGTTATAGGGGTTAGGGTTTAGGGGTAGTTTAGGGTTTAGGGGATTTGGGGGGGGTCTTTAAGGGATCCTTCAAAGGGCTCTTTAAAGGGTTCTGTCAGGAGGTTCCAGGGTTTAGGTTTAGGCTAGATTTCCGGTCGCAGAGCTTAGGGTTTGTATCCTCCGAAGGTTTGTTGTTTCATTTTGGGTCCAGGGTTCTGTAGGGATTCTGCAGGAGTTCTTCTTCTATAGAATTTATCGAGGGCTTCTTTAAATCATGGGATTTGGGATCGTGGAGGGTGGATCCGAAACAGGGCTCTGTGAAGGGTTCTCTAGGCAGGAGGTCTTTAACGGTATAGACGTTATCTTGCTATAGAGGATTGATGGGTTTAGAGTTAAGGGCAGGGCGTTGCAGAGTTAAGGCTCCAGGATGCTCTTTAAAGCGCTCTGTAGGCGAGTTCTGCTTTAGGGTTCAGCGTTTAAGGTTCAGGGTGGCCGGGTGAAGGGCAGATTCTGTATGTTGCATGCAGCGTGTCCACGGGGCCTATGAGACTACCAAGGGGAGGGACGGTTCGTTATTCTTCAACATGTCGGTTTGTGGAGTTTAAGACCATATTCTCAACATGGAACTTCTCAGGAAAGGCAGGCATGCCCCGTCGCCCCAAAACACGGATAATACACACAACCCAGTTTCCGGCTCATGATTGCGGGATGTCACCCCTGCAATCTTAGGTCACGGGATCCACTGACCAAGTTTAAAGCCGACCCCGCCACAAAACCGTAAAAAAAATTTAGGACGCCCCAGGACACCTTTCATGAAAGGAAGCTGAAGCCCCATAACCCCCATAGCCGTACGGAACCCGTATAAGAATACTTTAGATCCGTAAAAGACTAGGAAGCACTTCATAACCACAACAAACCATTATACCTACAGAATCTGAAAGCACCGAGCCATACTACACCAACTTTCATCAACGCCGAAAATATCGTGCATATATGTAAGTGTGTACAATATATATATATATATATATATATATATATATATATATATATATATGTGTATATATATATATATACATATGTATATAAACATATATATATATATATATACATATATATATGCATGCATACATACATACATACCTAAGCCCCATTTCAAGCACCCTAGAAGTCTCAATGTCCAGACACTCTGAGGCCCAAGACCCTCGCTTTTCGTTTGAGGGCTGGCGGAAGAAAGCTTCGGGAGATGCCCCAGACCTTGAAGTACCCTAAGCCCTAAACCCTGAACCATGTTTAGGGGTTTAGGGGTTTCACGTTACCATAATATAGTTTACTATAGACCCCTGCTATGGTAACTTCCCTAATGCTCCTGGACCGTGGTAGTGAGATCCCAAACCTGAGCCCCCAAAGCCCAAACCCTCCCCCAGAGAGCCCATGACCCCTTTTGGAGCCTTGGGGTAAGCCCTATACCCTGAACCATGACCTTGAAGTGCCCGCGAATGAGTCTTCCTACGGTTTAGGGTTTAGGGTCTAGGGCTAGAGAATGAAACAGACCCCAATTTGGAAGACATCTTTTCCAATTTTAGTGCTCTTCTTCATGGCACTGTTGTGCTACTTCTAGTGTTTTGAACTCCATGAATGATGTTCGAGGTGATCTTGGGCTTATTACCAACGATAACAATACATTACATGATTTGTGCGATAAATGAATCTGACAATGCTGACAGTTCAAGCATGGTTGATGTGTTCAGACTGATATGAAGCTGCTGTGTTGGCTTTGGATAAGCATCGTAACCGACTTGGTTATTGCTCTGTGAGCTTCTGTGTAAACCGTATGCTGGGGATATAGGTCCAGGTTAACGAGGGTGGGCAGTTCGGCATTCCTAGCTTTGATGGATGCACAATGCACCCGTCGTCGTGTGAAGCAGAAAGAGGTGTTTGCCAAACCGCTGGTGGCTGAAAAGAAACCCTGACAATGGAAGTGGTCTGATGAACTGTAACATGATATTGCCCGAATGATTGTCTCTTTATGTATGGTTGTTCTTTGATGCACGCCAAGCAACTTTGATTCTTCGGGCGCCTAAACTAGGCCCCGCCCGTGAGTTTGAAGCCCTAAACAACTCCTAGACCCCCTTCTCGGGTGTTCCTTAGGAGCCATGTTCCGCTTTGCTTGGGCAGCGCTCGTCGATGTCTAAGAAGCTGATAGGGTTAGGGGCTATCTCTTACCTGGGTTGGGGTGTAATTGAGGATCCAATGCGGTGCTTGTCCAAGAGAACCCAATACCCCTTAATCACGGAATGTTTCTTAAACAAAAAGGGGGCTCACATTATGATGTAAGAAATATGATATAATCCTTAATTAAGGGGTATTGGGCTCTGTGGGGTCTTCCCTGACCTTGAGAATCACGGACCGAGTCGTTGACTCTAAGCTTGAGTTAAAGCCGTCTGGCATGAATAATATCGGGGCCTTAGTAGTTAGAATAGGGTTTTGGGGTATGTATTCTACTATAACTACAATAAGGAGCCCCCAAACTAGGCAATCATTTAAAGGGGTTTGTGCTCAGTGTTTTCGGAGGCCTCAACAGGTGGGATGAAGGTAGGTACGATCAAGGATCCCTTACATAAGGACTCTTATTTGGGAATATCCCACCTACCTTCATCCCACCTTCTGAGGCCCTCCGATTGGGATTCGTGGTATTTTGCTAAACTTAAACGCAACACTACGATGTCCGCCATTACTTAGGACCCTCGACCTCAACCCCAAACCCTAAACCCGAACACCCGGTTTAGGGTTTAGGGTTTAGCCCGAAATCTATACCCTTAACCCTAAGCCCTAAACCCCTAAACTTAACAGGATCTTGCTTCCACCGTTTGGCAAACAATCGCTTGGAGACCATGAGTACTTCCTGGGAAGGTTCGGAGGCGACTGGGCGCACGCAGTCCACCTCGAAATCGACCTTAAACTACCATAACCAACCATTGATATTGGGGGAGCTAACGAGCCAGGAATCATGATAATTCCTATTAAATAAGGAGCTAAAGAGACAAGGGAAACCCAAAACCACTGGTTAGATAAGCTGCAGGTCCTTATTCCAAAGCTTGTTTTGAATGTATATGTATAAGGCCGCTGCAAAAAGTGGGCTTTGGTAGAGCCTGGAATCTCATCGAGGCTTGCATGGAGCAGCCTGTTAACCAACCGCGAAGCCGAAGACCCGAGTTCATAACCCCCAGGCCCCTTTAAGGGTTCCTTTAAGGGTTCCTTTAAGGGTTCCTATAAGGGTTCCTTTAAGGGTTCCTATAAGGGTTCCTTTAAGGGTTCCTTTGCAGGGAACTCCAGAAAGTTGGAATATGGATTAGTGGTAGGATCCCCTATATTTTACCTTAAAGGGGTTACGATAATGATATTCCAACTTTCTGGCTTCTACTATAACCCTAATAACCCTCAACCTTAGAAGGGGCCCCCACCCTGCAAGGATTATTTTAGGGCCCTATTACATTCCTATTATACCACTATTACAGGATGGGGCATTTTTCTAACCTAAACCCTGAACCCCAAACCTCCAAGGTAGATAAAACCAAGGCCCTGTGATTTTGAAAACAAGGCTGATTTTTTCTACATGCCTTTGGAGAAAAGCTAGACCCTAACCCTCGCACCCTACGGTTGATGATATAAATCCTGCATTGCAATTGCCCTTACATGCCCTGAACTATGGGAATTATGGTAGATTCCTTACTATGGCTAATGCAGGATTTAAATCATCAGCCGTAGCTCCCTACCCCTGAGATCAGTAAGTAGGGTTATATGTACCTGAAATGGGGTTATAAGTAGTTATAAGTATAGTTACCGTACTTGTAACCCTAGTTACTAAGTCCCATGATCCTCTAAATGTACCACCCAAACCCATATAGAATCCTTAATAGTAACCCTTATAGACCCCTTGCTAGGAACCCTTTGAGGGAACCCTGGGTACTAAGTCCCATGATCCTTTAAGTATTCTTGAGATCTTCACCCCTCATCATCCACCCCAGGTTCTGGGATTGCAGGTTCAAAGGTCATCGCAACCATTATCCGCATGCCCTTACCCCAAGGGTCCAAAGGACCCAATAATTAGGTACTCGGTTTTAGGATAGTAGTTATGTAGGTTAGGATTTTGGAGAGTATATGCTTACCGTGTACTTGGACCCTTGGGGTTAAAGGATAAGAGTACTACAGGGGCTACCATAAGGTTGTAATGTGGGGAACTTAACGAGTAGACTTCGAGGTAACTTATATTAAGGCGATATCAAGGAACCTTGAGGAAGTGTATTGGTACTGTCTCAGCCTCTGGGTTAGATGACCTATATGATGAGTTCGAGACGACAATCCCTGCAGCAAGTATATGTGAACCTCATGGTACCCATAGCCCGTAGAATACTATGTTGGTGATTGGCTCTGCTTCTATGTAAGAACAACTGTATCTCACAGACATGCTGTTGTCAGAGATTACCAGACTGATGCCGAAGATGACGATGATGAAGATCTGCTGTTGTTTCTGCTGTCGTGCGACATCTGATCGGGTGTGTATGGACAAGGTGGAGTCTGTACTGGATTTGCAGGTTCCCACTCCAAGAATTTCACAGGGAGCCCTGCACATATGGGTTCTGTTTATTATACCCTGTCCCCCAAGAATCTTCTAATACGTTCCGATTCTTATCATGATTAACCTTATCGCTGAGGGCCCTATGTGAGTTCGTTTAGTCTGGACCATCAGCCCCGACGTTTGCCGGCTCATTGTCTACCGTTCCTTCCTGGTGGTTTAGTTGGAGCACAGAACAGGGACTTCCTGCCGCAACGCTGGTTGGGCGAGCGTGGTGCTTGAGGCTTACCCTGTTCTGGCCCAACTTTGTGGCGAACAGGTACCTTTGTGCTTGCTCGCAGCGCAGCCAAATCTGGGCCCAAGGCCTGTATTTTCCCGCTGCAAGCAGAGGTCTAAGCGGCACTTGCTTTGCAATTCTCCAGGCATCGTGCTCTTGTCGAGCAGAGCTGAAACCCAATCAGCCCTAATTACGATGCTACCCTAGACACAAGAAAATGTAGACATAAATCATAGTAAGGAGCCCTGACAGTGTGACCACTTGCTTCATTAGGGTTCAGGGCTTGGGGTTTAGGGTTTTAGGGTTTAGGAGTGCGATACACATAGTGATAGTATCAGTACGATCCCTGCTGCAGAGACTGCCCACTTATGACCACTTGTTAAGACCGAGATGATAGCTCACGGTGGTGAGCACGATGACTTCGTACATGGCGTGGCCATTTGAAGTAGGCTCTTGACAGGCGCGCCGGGGCAGCTTTTGCAGCTCAGTATACAAGAAGACACGGAGTTCCGCAGCCGAGCCCTCCCTGTCATTCCTGGGCTCTTGTTGAGTGACTTAAGTTAAGTTACCATAATAGGGATCTATAGTGAAGATAATATGGTTTCCTTATGGTGGTAACTTGCATTCATTCCTGCACAAGAACCCAGATTTCCAACCCAGAACCCCAAAAGCAAAGCCCCAAGCCCAAACCATATGCCCTAAACATCTCTCTTCATTCCCGAAACCCGACACCACTCCTAAGCCGCCCGAATGTCCCTACTTCCTGAAACTACTCTCAGCCGCACTAGACTCGGAACCACTCACATACTCACACAGTAAAGCACCCTGGACGTTGAAGCCCCAAAGTTAGAAGCCCTGTAAATCCCCAAGCTCTAAAACCCTAAGTTCCGACAGAACCCTAAAGCCCAACAGTTCAGCGCCCTAAAGGGTCTATCCTTAAGGGTCCTTGTACCCAAATAGTAGATACTTTGGCCTTTAAGTAGTCGCCATCTAGGTACTTTGGGGCCAAAGTATGTACTATTTGGGTACATGGACCCTTACGTGAGGTATAGGGTTCAGGGTTTACCAAAGCCCTATTGTTGTGCTGAGCATCGCGAACCCCCGGCGTGCCTTGCTGACTGAAACAGTGCCCCCGCACTGGAGCCCAGGACCACTCTTCCTCAAAGCCTGTGGATCTTGAAGCGGGAGTGGTCCCCTCTCAGTTACCCAGAGGCCCCATAGTAGTTCCTTTTTGAGTTTACCTTATAGGATTCGATAAATATGAACCCCAAAACCCTGGGCATCTAAATAGCCCAAAAGCCTTATATGGTATGGTCTTCGGGCCCAAAGCCTTAATCTATGAGTCCTTGGAGCCCTCGGGAAAAGGA